GATCAATCGCAAGCTCACTGGGGTGATGCTGGAGAAGTGCGTCACGGGCAGTGGAGAGGCGGTCAGGGAGACGAGTGACTACCCAGTGGACTGTGAGCCAAATAGGAGGAGGAGCAACAAGAAGCTGAGCCTCAGTGCAAGCTGCTCGGTAGCTAGCGACAAGGGAGCGCAAGTGTGTGGCTAGGTCAGAGACAGTCGCAAAAGAGCCGAGGTCGGGAAACACGAACGGCATGAGGATGCGGCTGAGGGAGGCAGAGGAAGGGGTGGAATAGCGTGCAGAAATAGCATCATACACCTCATTCGCAGTCTCTACCAGGTCGAAGTGAGCGGCCTCAGTCGGTGGAAGGAGCTCGGTCAGCGCGAGTGCAGCCGCAGCGTCACGGGAGTCCCAAACGTCCCGCGCCAAGACGAGACGAGCGTAGTCCGCCTGTGCCTCCGGAGTCGGGGGGGGCACGGCAGGGAGGGGCTCGGGACGCGGTGGTGCCTGGAGGGCGCCGGACGCGTGGGCGTACAGGGTGGCGCCGTCCTGGCGCTGACTGTTGAGATAGCGCTGAGTCTGGCGGAGCCAGGTGCCGAACTCTATCGGGCGCCCCTCTGCATCGAAACGAAGGCGGCGGGAGGAGTCCATATTGGACGCTAGGCTAGGAACAGCTGGAGCACGGAGCAAACGGAGCTAGGAGCGAGGAGCGCCAGGTGGGACTAGGCGAGGTACTGCTGGAGCACGGAGGAAAACTGAGCTAGGAACGCCAGTCTAGTAACGAACGGAGCTGGGAGTTAGCTGACCTAGGAGCACACGGCTGGAGGAGGCAGGGCTGACGAGCCGATCGAGGAGCCAGAGGGTCGTTCGAGGGGCTGGCGGAGCGAGGAGAGACCTAGCTAACAACGAACGTCAGGACTAGCCTAAACAGCTAAGCGGAGCGGCCTCCAGCCGCGACGGTGCGAAACACTGTGAGTATGAGTGACGCGAGTGTCGAACCAACGGAGGTCGGGTGGTCCTGGGTGGTGTGCGCGCGTGATAAGGGGATGTGAGCGTTTGGAAGGGGCTCTAAGCGGTTGGAAGGGGCTGTGAGCGGTTGGAAGGGGCTGTGAGCGGTTGGAACGGGCTGTGAGCGGTTGGAAGGGGCTGTGAGCGGTTGGAAGGGGCTGTGAGCGGTTGAAAGGGGCTGTGGGCGGGTGGGAGGGGCTAGCTGGCGCCAGCTGCTGGCGGCTAGGTTCCGGTGGCTAGCTGCTGCTGGCGGCTAGCTTCTGCCTAGCCGTGCTGCTGCTGCAGGAGCACGCGCTGCTGCCTAGCCGTGCTGCTGCTGCAATGCACACGTTGCTGCCTAGCCGTGCTGCTGCTGCAATGCACGCGCTGCTGCCTAGCCGTGCTGCTGCTGCAATGCACGCGCTGCTGCCTAGCCGTGCTGCTGCTGCAATGCACGCGCTGCTGCCTAGCCGTGCTGCTGCAGCAAAGCACGCGCTGCTGCTGCAATGCGCGTGCTGCAGTGGCGTGCGCGGCTGCCGCTGGCTAACGCGCGCGCTGCTGCGGGCTAAGAACGACTACGCGGGCCCGCGGGGGGGGGGGGGGGAGAGTCCCTTCTGGAGCGCGACGAAACGAGGGGCCAGCGGGGCCCTGTAAACGCGACGAAAAACGAGGCCCGCGGGGGCCCTTAAACGCGACGAAAATGAGGCCCGCGGGGGCCCTTAAACGCGACGAAAACGAGGCCCGCGGGGGCCGTCCTACCCGCGACGAAACGGGGCCTAAGGGACGGGCGCCTCGGGACCGGCTAAGGGAGGGAGCGGAAGCGTGGGAGGGAGTAAAAAAAAAACCTACTCTAATACCATCTTAAGATAGGCTAGGAGACAAGTGTCGAGAGTGATGTTTGAGTAAGGAGGGACAAGGAGATACAAATGTCGACCTAAAGTGTTGTACCCTTTAGAGGGCAACTCACAGTAGCCTATCTAACAATATATATAATATATAAACATTTGACATGTAGGCCTATGTATTATGTGTTGAAATGTAATAGTAGATCTGGTTTTCATCAGACTGAGATAGCATTCCTGGGGATGGCCAAACGCCAAACGTCTGGACATCTGAGCGTTGGGGCCACGTGCCTTCAACGAGGCAGCCCACCGACGGTCGTGCGACGTTTTCGCACGACTGATGTTTGTTGGAAACAATCGGTCTTAAGCGCCTCTGTCGTGTCGAAACACTAAGGCATAAATGAGGCAAAGCATATCGAAGCACCGGCGAGTCAACCCTCGGAGGTTGAAGTAACCGCTGGAGGTTACGGGAAGTCAAAGGTCAGCGACCTTTGACCTGACGAATACAGCGCGACAGCAAGGACACACAACTGACTCGCTACAGAGCAGTTGCCCGAGTCGTCACTGTATCGAACCGCAACAGCAACAGTAAAGTAGTTACAACCGTACCTCTTCGTATTCCTTGTACTCTTATATATGTTCTTGTATCTCTTTGTTTTAACCAACTTACTTTGCCCTCACATACTAGCGCAAGGTGGTTCACAACTCTTCAATTAACGCTTCCGCTAGTACACCAACTCTACCCCGAGTTCACCCCTGCAAAGATCCTAAGGAACTTTTTCAGCCCAACAATGTTCACTAGTGTAGTTGACTCAACGTGCAACTGTAGTGGCGCTGTTATTGACACTTGGGGCATAGGAAAAAAACCAAACCACAGGGATGGTTGCATTGAAGTAGCGGGTGTTTGTTTTGGTAGGGAATTTGGCACTGCATACCCCATTCGTGCGAGGATTGTCAATTCCGCAAAGAATATTTTCGAGGGCGCTTCCCCTGGCTTGTTCAACGACGAACATGTCGCAGACGTTTGTTCGCGCAGGAAATTCATTGGTGCGCGTGTGCGGGTGTACACCTGTTGCCAACGTCACAAGGCTACTCTTACACGTCATTGGAGCAGCTAATGTCCAGGCCATCGCCAGGAACGCCCTCTGGTGCCTGATCGGTAGCACCCTTAAGCGGGGTTAGTGAGCTTCTAGGCAGCTCCCTAAGTCCCGCTTTGCACGTGTGACGGAAGTTTAACCAGTCCGACGTGGCTTACTCCGCGTAAGTCAGAATGGGCAAACGATCGCCCGAACACCCTACTCGGAGTACGACTCGAAGTGACCATTCAGGAAGGTTCCTTCACGGGCAAACTTAGCTCCGCGGCTGAACTCCACTAACCCTGGCTTTTTGTGAGAGTAAGCCTCGCTTACTCGGATTAAGCCCGCGAAGGGTGAACCCGACAAAACCCCAAATTTTACTTTTTGTTTTCAGGGAAGCCTTCAAATATCTTCAAAATTTTTCATTTCCCCAACTCCGAGTGGTTCTTGATGTTGTCATTTTCTGGCTAAGTTACCCCTTTGTGGGAATTCGTTTTCTTGGTCACGAGTGGGGCAGTCTGGGCCGAGCACAACAGTGCGTTGAGGGAAATCGCGCTCACGACCCTCGCAAAGCGGAGTTTCGAGGGCGTGCCGATCACCCCTCGGAGTTGGGAAACTTACAGGAGGAGAAGGGAAGCACCCACCGACACGTGCCCACATGTGTGTGCCAAGGCGACAGAAGCTTAAAGCTGAAGTATACATTTGTCATCCAGGTTTTGGGTTTAGAAAGTCACCTCACGGTCTCACAGGCAAACTTTCAAATTTCAAAAGTTTTTGAACCCCTTCTGTCAAATGTATACGAAAGCTTTAAGCCGCTTAGGGGCTACCGATCAGGGCCCTGATGTTTTGACGCGATGTTACGAAATAGGCTCTGGGCCGTGAATCTGTCTTGTGATGTGATTCGACAGTCTTGAAGCAAATATCGCGCCACGTCAGTCCTTACGTCAACTATAACCATCACCAGAGTTCCTACATGCGAATCCTGACGAAAACCCTCCTTGAAGAAACATGATTCTCGTGACTCTCGTCTAACCAGCGAGAGGAGTCCTTGAAGTTACGTGAATGTCTGGTTACCTTGTTGATCTCGTCCGTTTCGCACGGCTTGTATGTTCCCAAGAATGTGGGATTTCCCAGATGGACACGCACGCACCCTCTCTTCCGCCCTTCTACGCGTGGAACATTCTTCCGACCATCAAGCAGCTGGCCATAATCCCGTTCGCTGATGGTACAACCGCCATGTCTAGGATGCGCAGCAGCTGCTCGTGTTCAGTGATGTTGACTAGAGCATCTTAGTGGGTTCGTATCTTATTTTGATTATGGGACATAAACCGTAAGACGACACGGCAATTTCCTCCGTCATTATAATCTGCCACGCTTCCCTCTGGAGAGACAAGGCGGATGAAGTTCAGGAGCTGACTGGAATATCATTTTCATGTCTTTCTCATCTCCCTCAAGTGCTCTTATTGTAAACAAGACCTGATCTTAGGCTCATAAGGACCTGCCATTATTCAACTCAAACAAAGCCTGTAACCAGTCTGTATAGCAGCCTCGGGTATCAAACTTAAGCGCGGCATGCGCGCGACACCTTTCCTTACTGCTTCGCGCTCAAGCATGTCAGCTGCAACCTCAGCGCCGCTCCGCGCGTTCACCACACCGCACCGAACCGTACCGCTTTGCCGGCTTCCGTCGATTCCTCCATCCCTCGGAAATGGACTGTGCGGCTGTCCGCGCGCTGCGCTCCGCCAGTCACAGCAGCAGTCTTCGCCCCAACCGAAACGAAGTTTCCGCCATTCGCGAGGGCTTTCACCGAGCATTCGTCAAAATGGGTTATTTTCTGCACTTCCCTTTGCTCAGAAGGTTCAAAGATTAGGTGAGGAGGGGGGATCCGGAGGGATTTGGCACCGACCAGTACGTAGGAATGTCGCGGTTAGAGCCAAATCGCAGGGTAGTGACAATTCTGCTTCAAACGAGTCGGCTTCTAGCGAATCTGCTTCCACTGGTGCTAGCCGAGACAACGATGCTCTGCAAGTCCCGGGAAGGAGTCCCGGTTCGCCGAATCCGGCACCTAGATCCCGGCCGTCCGATTTGGACATCCCGTTCGATCCTGCGGTCGACGCAATGATTGCGTCGGAGATGGCGGGGAGGAAGAGCAACGACCCACCTCCACCAGCAGAAAATGAGGTAACTGTAATCGGAGTTATGAGAAATGAAATTATAGTAATTAGCACGCACTTGAGCCACACAAGGATGGTCATAATCCCGTACAGTATTGAGCTTCGGAACCAGGCTCACCCCTCACGATTCCATTATCTGCCACGTGTTGCCCCCACCAATCTCAGAGACAAGCCACCCAGCTGGGCACGCTGCTGAAGCAGTTCGTCCGCGTGGCGGCACCCTATTGGTCGTCGGAGGACAAGGGCCAGGCACGGCTGCGGCTAGCTGCGGTGTTTGTGTTCGCGCTGGGCTGCACTGGCGTCTCCGTGCTTTTCAACTTCTTATATCGGGACTTTTACAACGCTATAGCGAGTATGTGCTCTTTGCGCTGGGCTGCACTGGCGTCTCCGTGCCCTTCACCTTATTATATATAGAATTCTACAACGCTATAGCGAGTATGTGCCTTTAACTTCCTGTTACCAATATTTCTACAATTCTATAGCGAGTATTTGATCTTCGTGTCGTTGCACATCGACTGATAAAGTGCTGTAGCGAGTACAGACTTGCCCTGCCAACTTCATCCCTGACTACCACCAAAGCTTCTTTCTTCCCTCTTTCTGCCACCAGCCCTCCCTGATTTCCCTGTCGCACTCTCCCTCTCTCTCTTTCCCTCTATGTTGTCCCCTTATCGCACCTTGCTCCCTTCCTTACCCCACCCCACCAGGCAAGGACGGTGAGGCCTTCTTGCAGCAGTTTGTGTGGTCCTCATGCTTGCTCCTCCTCCTCCCCTTCCGCTCCCCTCCCCCTACCCTCGTATTGCCTCGTTCCCCCCCCCCTCCCATCCACCAGGCAAGGACGAGGAGGCCTTCCTGCGGCAGCTCTTGTGGTTTCTCGGAGCCACTGTGGGGGGTGTGCCGGTAGGTGCAGTGCAGCAGGGAGTTGTGCCGGTAGTGGGATAGTGCAAAGGGGGTGTGGTGGTAGGTGGGAAAGTGGGGCTGTGGTGGTAGGTGGAACAAAGGGGCTGTGGTGTGGGTAGATGATTGAGTGAGTGAGCGATAGAGGGGTGGTTGAGAGAGAGAGAGCACGATGGAGGGTGTTGTGTGGAGGGTGTTGTGTGGAAGCACCCATCCCACATGTCACACCGGGAACCCTCCCTTTCCACTGAGCTCAAATGTCAACCTGTCTCTAAGGCGCTCTAGGAATCATCACGCCCCACGTGTCACACCGTCCCTTGCTTTGCTTTACATGGAGCACAAGCATTCCGTTCCTGCACCACTTCATACTCGTTGTGCATCCCCCTCCCCACTCCGTCCCACCACCATACCCCTCCTCTCCTCCTCTCGCCCATCTCCCCCCACAGGTGTTTGTGTTCCGGGACTACCTGCGTGACACGCTGGCGCTGAGGTGGCGGGCGTGGATGACAACGGATCTGCTCAGCAAGTACTTCCAGCACCGCACCTTCTATAACATCCAGTCGCAGGTATCATGTGGTTACAATTAAATTTAGCTACACTAACGTATGTGATTATTGTCCGGAACACGTACTTCCAGTCCAGCACCGCACCTGACTTCTACAACATCCAGTCGCAGTCATGATAGAAGGGGTGCACCCCTTCTATCATGTGGTTATATTCAGACCTGTCACACTCACATTGGGTAAGATTTAGGAACAAGCACTTGAATCCAGCCACCACGTCTTGAACAACATCCAGTAGTGAATGGGTATGATCACTGATGGACACAATCGTCGCTGGTTACAGTCACAGCTGGTTACAGTCACAACTGGTTACACTTCAGGCCTCTTGATTCGGGTGGCATTTTGTTCCTACCCTCCCTGCAGTGCCTCGATCCTTTTTTTCTCCTCTATACCTCTCCATTCTCACTCTCCTCCCCTACCTCCCTTCCCCCCTCCCCCCGCGTACCCGCCTCCGTCTCTCTCTCGTCACCCATAGTCCGTGATAGACAACCCAGACCAGACCAGAGCATCAACGAGGACGTTGACGAATTCACCACCACCTTGCTCACCTTCTCCCTCTACTCCCTGTAACCCCCTCCTCTACGCTCTTTGCCCACAGTCCCTAATAGCAACCTGGGTCAGCAAATCAACGAGAACGTGAACGATTTCACCACCGCCTCGCTCACTTCTGTCTTCTCCTGCGTCCCTCTCCACTTCATCCCCCCTTCGCCCACTCCCCTCCCTGTCCCCAGTCGCTCATAGACAACCCTAACCAGTGCATCAACGGGGACGTGGACGACTTCACAACCACGTCACTCACCTTCTCCCTCGCCCGTTCCTACCATTCCCCATTTTGTCACTCTCCCCGGTTTCAACTTGTCTCCCAGTCGCTCATAGACTACCCAGATCAGCGAATCAACGATGATGTTGACGACTTCACCACCACCCCCCCGCCTTCTCCACCTCACCTTCGCTTCTTTCCTCTGCACACCCCTTTGTCCCCAGTCCTTAATAGACAACCCAGATCAGCGAATCAACGATGATGTTGACGACTTCACCACCACGTCGCTCACCTTCTCCCTCGCGCTCGTCAACGCCATCGTGGATCTCATCTCCTTCTCCGGCATCCTCTACTCCATCTACCCGCCGCTCTTCGCCGTGCTGCTGGCGTATTCCCTTGGAGGCACAGCCATCAGTGTCTATCTGGGCAGGGTGAGTGCTGCTGTTAGGGAGGTGATGGGGGTGTGTACCTGGATGGATAGAACGCGGTGGTGGACTACTGCAGGAGAAGAAGGAGGCGGACTACTCTGCCTCTTGGAACACGCACATTTTGATCCTGCCTCTACTCTCCCTGCCAACCCTCCTCTCCTGTCTTCGCCCACAGGAGCTAGTGGGGCTCAACTTCCTGCAGGAGAAGAAGGAGGCGGACTTCCGGTACGGGCTGGTGCGAGCACGGGAGAACGCCGAGAGCATCGCCTTTTACGGCGGGGAGCGCAGCGAGACGCGCCTGCTGCTGCAGCGCTTCCGCCAGTCCTTTGCCAACTACTCTGTGAGTGCGCTCATACATGCGTGTTCACATGTTCATGTGTGTGCCTGTAGGTGCTTGATGCTTGCGGTGGTTGTAAGCCATGGAAGGGCATTGAACAAAATGCCAGCTGCTGAAGGAGTGAGACGCGCCTATTGCTGCAACGCTTCGGCCAGTCATTTGCCAACTACACTGCACGTGCGCTCATGCATGCGTGCAGTGGCTCATTGATGCGTGCAGTGGCTCATGCAGTGGCACAGCACGTACCAGCCACATGCAATGAGCTCATTGATGTGTTCAGTGGCTGCTATGTGCGTGGAACGGCGTGATTGAGCTGTCTCAGAACACGCTTCCTGCTACACAACGCTTCCGACATTTCTCGCGTGTGTGCTGTGGTTGGTTGGTGCGCCCTGTGGGTGTGCAGTGGCCGTTAAGCATGGACGGCCATTAGACTATTCTGAGCTGATGATGCTTCCTTTATCCCCCCCACCCCTTTTCCCTCCTGCCCCACCCTCTTCCGTTCCCTCTCTCCCCTCCGCGAGTCTACGGCATCGGACGTTTGCAAGTTATCGCCCTGAGCCATCTTTGCTTCTCATCCCGCTCCTCTCATCCCCTCTCACCCCTACGGCATCTTCTAGTGGTAGAGCGCAACCTCGGTTTCTTCACCAGCAGCTACCGCTACCTCATCCAGCTGCTGCCAGCTCACCACCTAACCAGCATGTCTCCTTCCCCCCCCCCCCCTCCCCCCCGCCCCCCCGTCCCCGTTCTCCCCCTCACAGCGGCTGCTGGTAGTCGGTCGCAACCTGAATTTCTTCACCAGCAACTACCGCTATCTCATCCAGCTGCTGCCAGCAGCCGTGGTGGCGCCACTCTACTTCCGCGGGGAGATTGAGTTCGGCGTCATCAACCAGTCCTTCTCTGCCTTCAACCACGTTCTCGGGGACTTTTCCATCATCGTCTTTCAGTTCCAAGCGCTCTCACAGTTCTCTGCCACTGTGGAACGGCTGGGTACGTGACCTGTGACGACCATGCTCCACACTGTATATAGAACGTGCTTGTAACGGGAGAGGGAGTTTGAGTTTGGCGTGAGCAATCAGTCCTTGTCCGCCTTCGGCCATGTGCTTGGAGGCTTTCACATCATCGTCTTCCTCTTCCAAGCTCTCTTGCAGTTCTCCGCTATTGTGGAATGGCTAGGCATGTGACTACACGTGTCTGTTGAGGTGAGGTGCCTGGGAGGAGGGAGTGAGTTCAGCGTGAGCAACCAGTCATTCCCCGCCTTCAGCCACATCCTCAGGGACTTTGACTTCCTGTTTTAAACGCTCTCACAGCTCTCTGCTATTGTTTGAAAAGCCGAGTACGTCTTGTGTGATTCCTGCACTGCACTGAAAGTCATGCATCTGTAAGGGGAGATAGTGTGGCCCACCAGTAAGTGGCTGGCAACCCCCTGTCTGACCTCACTGGCTGTCGCTGTGTGTAAATGTGGTGAATACCACTCGCACAGTTCGAGGCCCACATGTGGCTGTCGCACGGTTCGAGAGCGCTGGGTTTTGAGAGCTCTCTCGGTGCTGTGCTGTGCTGTGTGACATGTGACGAGGTGGGTGGGGTCAAGTGGATGGGGAAGGAGGGGCGCATGTGGAGCAGTCGCAAAGATGATCTGACCCGGAAGACATGCTGCTGGCCGTTTGACTGGTGGAAGGACCATGCTCCGCATGTGCATGCGTGCGCAAGCAATCTCATTCCGCCTCATTCATGGCCGGCAGTATTTGTCTCCTCGCTCCATGATGGATCCATAGTTTTCAATCTGAATGCCCCTCCGTCCACTCACTCGCTTCAGTCACTCTCTCTAGTGGCGTCACACTTAGCTTTTCCTTAGCTCATTACTTTCGAACTCTTAATTCTTACTTCTCACTCACACACTTCTCACCCCCTGACTGCATGTGAAAGCACGCACATGTGGCTCTTCCTCCGCACATGTGGCTCTTCCTCCGCACATGTGGCTCTTCCTCCGCACATGTGGCTCTTCCTCCGCTCATGTGGCTCTTCCTCCGCACATGTGGCTCTTCCTCCGCACATGTGGCTCTTCCTCCGCACATGTGGCTCTTCCTCCGCACATGTGGCTCTTCCTCCGCACATGTGGCTCTTCCTCCGCACATGTGGCTCTTCCTCCGCACATGTGGCTCTTCCTCCGCACATGTGGCTCTTCCTCCGCACATGTGGCTCTTCCTCCGCTCATGTGGCTCTTCCTCCGCACATGTGGCTCTTCCTCCGCACATGTGGCTCTTCCTCCGCACATGTGGCTCTTCCTCCGCTCATGTGGCTCTTCCTCCGCACATGTGGCTCTTCCTCCGCTCATGTGGCTCTTCCTCCGCACATGTGGCTCTTCCTCCGCACATGTGGCTCTTCCTCCGCACATGTGGCTCTTCCTCCGCACATGTGGCTCTTCCTCCGCACATGTGGCTCTTCCTCCGCACATGTGGCTCTTCCTCCGCACATGTGGCTCTTCCTCCGCACATGTGGCTCTTCCTCCGCACATGTGGCTCTTCCTCCGCACATGTGGCTCTTCCTCCGCACATGTGGCTCTTCCTCCGCACATGTGGCTCTTCCTCCGCACATGTGGCTCTTCCTCCGCACATGTGGCTCTTCCTCCGCACATGTGGCTCTTCCTCCGCACATGTGGCTCTTCCTCCGCACATGTGGCTCTTCCTCCGCTCATGTGGCTCTTCCTCCGCACATGTGGCTCTTCCTCCGCACATGTGGCTCTTCCTCCGCACATGTGGCTCTTCCTCCGCACATGTGGCTCTTCCTCCGCACATGTGGCTCTTCCTCCGCACATGTGGCTCTTCCTCCGCACATGTGGCTCTTCCTCCGCACATGTGGCTCTTCCTCCGCACATGTGGCTCTTCCTCCGCTCATGTGGCTCTTCCTCCGCACATGTGGCTCTTCCTCCGCACATGTGGCTCTTCCTCCGCACATGTGGCTCTTCCTCCGCTCATGTGGCTCTTCCTCCGCACATGTGGCTCTTCCTCCGCTCATGTGGCTCTTCCTCCGCACATGTGGCTCTTCCTCCGCACATGTGGCTCTTCCTCCGCACATGTGGCTCTTCCTCCGCACATGTGGCTCTTCCTCCGCACATGTGGCTCTTCCTCCGCACATGTGGCTCTTCCTCCGCACATGTGGCTCTTCCTCCGCACATGTGGCTCTTCCTCCGCACATGTGGCTCTTCCTCCGCACATGTGGCTCTTCCTCCGCACATGTGGCTCTTCCTCCGCACATGTGGCTCTTCCTCCGCACATGTGGCTCTTCCTCCGCACATGTGGCTCTTCCTCCGCACATGTGGCTCTTCCTCCGCACATGTGGCTCTTCCTCCGCACATGTGGCTCTTCCTCCGCACATGTGGCTCTTCCTCCGCACATGTGGCTCTTCCTCCGCACATGTGGCTCTTCCTCCGCACATGTGGCTCTTCCTCCGCACATGTGGCTCTTCCTCCGCACATGTGGCTCTTCCTCCGCACATGTGGCTCTTCCTCCGCACATGTGGCTCTTCCTCCGCACATGTGGCTCTTCCTCCGCACATGTGGCTCTTCCTCCGCACATGTGGCTCTTCCTCCGCACATGTGGCTCTTCCTCCGCACATGTGGCTCTTCCTCCGCACATGTGGCTCTTCCTCCGCACATGTGGCTCTTCCTCCGCACATGTGGCTCTTCCTCCGCACATGTGGCTCTTCCTCCGCACATGTGGCTCTTCCTCCGCACATGTGGCTCTTCCTCCGCACATGTGGCTCTTCCTCCGCACATGTGGCTCTTCCTCCGCACATGTGGCTCTTCCTCCGCACATGTGGCTCTTCCTCCGCACATGTGGCTCTTCCTCCGCTCATGTGGCTCTTCCTCCGCACATGTGGCTCTTCCTCCGCACATGTGGCTCTTCCTCCGCACATGTGGCTCTTCCTCCGCACATGTGGCTCTTCCTCCGCACATGTGGCTCTTCCTCCGCACATGTGGCTCTTCCTCCGCACATGTGGCTCTTCCTCCGCACATGTGGCTCTTCCTCCGCACATGTGGCTCTTCCTCCGCACATGTGGCTCTTCCTCCGCACATGTGGCTCTTCCTCCGCACATGTGGCTCTTCCTCCGCACATGTGGCTCTTCCTCCGCACATGTGGCTCTTCCTCCGCACATGTGGCTCTTCCTCCGCACATGTGGCTCTTCCTCCGCACATGTGGCTCTTCCTCCGCACATGTGGCTCTTCCTCCGCACATGTGGCTCTTCCTCCGCACATGTGGCTCTTCCTCCGCACATGTGGCTCTTCCTCCGCACATGTGGCTCTTCCTCCGCACATGTGGCTCTTCCTCCGCACATGTGGCTCTTCCTCCGCACATGTGGCTCTTCCTCCGCACATGTGGCTCTTCCTCCGCACATGTGGCTCTTCCTCCGCACATGTGGCTCTTCCTCCGCACATGTGGCTCTTCCTCCGCACATGTGGCTCTTCCTCCGCACATGTGGCTCTTCCTCCGCACATGTGGCTCTTCCTCCGCACATGTGGCTCTTCCTCCGCACATGTGGCTCTTCCTCCGCACATGTGGCTCTTCCTCCGCACATGTGGCTCTTCCTCCGCTCTCATCTCATCTCACTATCTCCTCGCACTTTCCCCCTCTCTCTCTGCTCGCCCCTGGATGACCAGATCAAGCCAGCCGTGCTACCAACTGCCTCTACTTCGTCCTAAACTCTCTTCCTCCCCTCTTACTTTCCCCGTTTACTCTTCCCCACTCTCACTCTTCCCTCTCCCTCACCTCTCCCCCTCTCCCCCCTGGCGAGTTTCAAAAGGTGCTGGATGGCCAGACAGAGCAAGCCAGCCGCGCTCCCACCTGCCTCTGCCTCTCTCTCCCCCCCTGCCTTCGCTCCCCTTCCCCTCTCCTCTTCGCATCGTTTCCCTCTCCCTCTCCCCACTCCCTCTCCCCACTCCCTCTCCCCACTCCCTCTACCCACTCCCTCTACCCACTCCCTCTCCCTTCTCCCCCCAGGCGAGTTTCAGGAGGTGCTGGATGACCAGAGCAAGCCAGCCGCGTTGCCAGCCTCCTCTGCTGCTTCTCCTGCGGCAACTGCTGGCACCGCGGAATCACAGTCACCTGCGACGGATTCTGCAGCACCCGTGGCTGCAGGCGGGAAGTTGGTGGTGAGCAGCAAGGGGGAGAAGCTGGAGGAAAGCACGCAGGCAACAGCAGCTGAGGCAGCGGCGGAGCACCTAGCGTCGCTGTTCAACAGCTTCATCACCATTGAAAACGTCATTCTCCCGGCTTCTTCTCCCTTTCTCCCCCCCGCCCTGCTGCCTGCCTCTGCCTCTTCCTCCTCCTCCTCCGCCTCCCCCCGTGTGCTGCTGGAGGTGGACGCACTCACTCTCTGCACGCCACAGTACGCCTCGTGCCTGCTGTCTGGCCTTTCACTCTCCGTGAAGCAAGGGGAACACCTGTTGGTGAGTGGTGCGAGGGGATGGGGACACCTGGTGAGTGCAGCGAGGAGAATACTGCTGGTGAGTGCAGCGAGGGGAGCAGTGTGTGTTGCAGGAGGTGGACGGACTCACTCTCTGCACGCCACAGTACCCCTCGTGCCTTCCCTCCCACCACTCTCTGCGTCAAGCAAGGGGAGTGATGTGAGGGGAGCAGCTGTTGATGCTCACTTCCCCCCTTGCGCGATACCATCTCTGCATGCGATTCCTGCCATTTGGGAGTTCACCCAGTTCAACTTCAGTTCAACTCTGTCGGCTCGGCACCCCTCAGTTCAACTTCAGTTCAACTCTGTCAGCACCCCTCAGTTCAATTTCAAGGCTGCCTCCATTCTACCTATTGGCAACTTGCAAGATCCATCTGTTCTGTTTCATCCCCACCCACCCTTCCGCAGACCTCCTGTTTCCCCCTTCTCCCCACCAATCCAAACCCTCTCTCCTTTGCCCGCTTCCACCCGATAATGGGTCCCAGTGGCAGCGACAAGACATCTCTGCTCCTCCTCTTTCCTCCACCCCTTTCCCTGCCACCTATGCCCTCTTCTCACGCCATCTTTTCTCCCCACCCCAGATTATAGTGGCCGGACTCTTATTACCCCTCCTCATCCCCTGCCGCTTCCTCTTCCCCTCTGCGCCTTCCCCTTCTCCCTCATCCTTCCTCCCCCCAACCCTTACCCAGATAATGAGTCCCAGTAACAGTGGCAGGACTTGTCTGCTCTTTTTCGTTCCAGTGTCCATTATTCAAACCTGGTCTAGCTGAACAGTGGCTTATTTTCCCCTGCGCCCTTCCCCTTCCAACCCTTTTTTGCCTCCCCACCTTACCCAAGATCGTGCGTTTCAATAGTACTGGTAGGACTGTTGGGGGACCTCTATGCTTCTCCTCACTCCCCCACTCCCCCAACTCCTGCCCTTCCCCCCCATCGTGCTCTCTCCTACCCCAGATCATGGGTCTCAGCGGCAGTGGCAAGACCTCTCTGCTTCTCCTCATCCCGCCACCCCATTTCCTGCCCCGCACCACCCTCCTCTCCCCTCTCCTTCCCCCCCACGCCAGAGCATGGGTCCCAGCGAATGAACAAGTGTTTTGAGACGTCTCAAAACGCCGCACCACCCTCCTCTCCCCCCCTGCCCTCCCGCCCATCCCAGATCATGGGTCCCAGCGGCAGTGATGAGTCGATTTTTAAGTCGACTTAAAAACCACCCTCCTCTCCCCCCCTGCCCTCCCCCCCACGCCAGATCATGGGTCCCAGCGGCAGTGGCAAGACCTCTCTGCTTCGAGCCGTTGCCGGGCTCTGGCGATCGGGCAGCGGAACGGTCAGAAGATATGTTTACCTGCCTGAGGGATCAGCAGCGTCGACAGAAAGCAAAGCAGCCCCCCCTAGCAGCAACACGCATAGTAATACGAGCGCTGTGATTAATGACAGTGCCCATTCAAAGAATGACTATAACGAGAATGATGGAGAAGGGAGTGGGAGTGGAGCAAGGGGCAAGACAGAGGAGGCAGAGGGGCAAAAGAGTGAGGGGGAAGTGAGTGTGAGCGTGAGTGTGGAGGGCGCGAGCGTGGTGAAAGCAGAGGGTGCAGTGGCTGACGTGGAGGATGGGGTGATGGACGCAGGAGGGGCGGTGTTCTTTGTCCCGCAGCGGCCGTACATGGTGCTGGGGTCGCTCAGGCAGCAGCTGTTGTACCCCACGTGGAGTGAGCTGGAGGAGGGGGAAGGGACAGGGCGGGCGGATGATGGGAGGGTAGTAGTGGCGCAGAGGGAGGGGGGCGAGGGGAGCGAGGGGAAGGAGGAGAGGGAGGGGAGTATGGAGGGGTGGTGGACGGTGGGTGGGTTGATGCAGCGGTTGGGGATCAAGAAGGACGCAGACAATGGAGGGACAGGTGAGAGGCAAGGAACATGCGTAGGTTGGTTTCTCTGTCTCTTGCTTAGCCTGCTCGCCTCACACACTTTGCACGTTTGTCCTGCTTTGAGTCGACTCAAAACTCGACTCATCACACACGAGGGCAAGAAACATGCGTAGGTTGGTTTCTCTGTCTCTCGCTTTGCCTGCTCGCTTCACACTCGTGGCACAGCTGTCCTGCCTCCATATTCCCTTTTGACCTTTGAGTAGACTCTAAATTCCAACATGCGTAGGTTGGTGTCTCTGTCTCTTGCTCTGTCTGCTTGCCTCACACACTCGGCACGATTTTCCTGCCTTCGGATCCCCTTTCCCTTGTGATCTCTACTCTTCTCAGTAACTGTACTTTGCGTCCTCATGACAATACATGACAAATTCTCATCCTTCCCTCTTCTCCCCCCTCAACACCCCACCCTTCCCCCCACAGCTGGATTCCCTCCCACCTCCATTTCCACTCTCGCCTCATCACCCCACAACATGGCGCACCGCTGGAAGTCTGAAACGTCTCACCTCTGCCTTTCTGCTTCCCTTCCATCTGTTTCCTGCCCCTCTGTCTCCCTCCCTCTCTCATCTCCCACCAGCCGGATTCCCCCCCACCTCCATTTCCACTCTCGCCTCATCACCCCACAACATGGCGCACCGCCCTCAGCCGTCGGATGAGGAGCTCCTGGCAGTGCTGGACGGCGTGAGATTGCGCCACGTGGCGGAGCGCCAGGGGGGCCTAGACGCGCAGGTGGAGTGGGCGAGTGTGCTGTCGCTGGGCGAGCAGCAGCGCCTCGCCTTCGCCCGCCTGCTGCTCTCCAGACCGGAACTTGCTCTCATGGACGAATCCACGAGTGCCCTGGATGAAGAAAACGAGGTGAGGGGGGTAAGGTTACCAAGTGCAGCAGTGTGCCAAGCCGATCGAATCACCAAACGTGCAGGAGAGGGAAGAAGGAGGGTGGGTGGGGTTGGCTAGAGACGCGCAGGTGGAGTGGGCGAGTGTGCTGTCGCTGGGCGAGCAGCAGCGCCTTGCCTTCTCCCGCCCGCTGCTCTCCCACCCGGAACTTGCTCTCATGGACGAATCTACCAGCGCCTTGGATGAGGAGAATGAGGTGTGAGCGGGTGGAGTAGATTGAAGTGCGGACAAGGTGTGTGTGTGTGTGTGTGTGTGTGTGTGTGTGTGTGTGTGTGTGTGTGTGTGTGTGTGTGTGTGTGTGTGCGCGCGTTGGTGGAGACGGCAGGAGTCACGTCACGTTCATCAGCATGGGCCACCGCAGCTCCCACCAGCACTCATGTGTGCATGTGGTCTAAGAAACCAGCCCAGGAGTACAGACAGCCCATGATCCACGATCCCAATCCTGCTCGAATGTGAGGTCCCACGGGTCCTTTTAGCAGCCCATGATCCACGATCCCAAACCTGCTAATCTCTCCCCTCCCACAGGCGCATGTGTACGGGCTGGTGGAAGCAGCAGGCGTGACGTTCATCAGCATCGGCCACCGCAGCTCCCTCCATCTCTCATGTGTGTGTATGGTGGTTTTCCTTCTCATACCGTCCCCATCTCTTTCTCTCCCCTCCCACAGGCGCATGTGTACGGGCTGGTGGAAGCAGCAGGAGTGACGTTCATCAGCATCGGCCACCGCAGCTTCCTCCATCTCTCATGTGTGTGTATGGTGGTTTTCATTCTCATACCGTCCCCATCTCTTTCTCTCCCCTCCCACAGGCGCATGTGTACGGGCTGGTGGAAGCAGCAGGCGTGACGTTCATCAGCATCGGCCACCGCAGCTCCCTGCGCCGCTTCCACTCGCTCCTCCTCACCCTCACACCTGCCGGGAGGGCCGACGCCGCCACTGCTAACGTCACTGATGACATCACGGACAGGAGTGATGGTATCAGCAGTGGGGGAGAGGGTGTGGAAGGGAAGCGGGTGGTGGCACGTGGAACAGGCAGCATGTGGACACTGGAGAGAATAGCAGACTAGACTGACTTATCAGCATCGGCCACCGCAGCTCCCTCCACCGCTTCCACTCGCTCCTCCTCACCCTCACACCCACTAGGAGGGCTCATGCCTCTGCTGACGTCACTCGTGGTGTCGGAGATGACGTCAGGGGCAGCATGAGTGGTGGTGATGAGGGTGAGGGTGGGAGTAGGGTGGTGGCACGTGGAACAGGCAGCATGTGGACACTGGAGAGAATAGCAGACTAGACTGATTTGTGCGTTGGGGGTCTCAACTGTAACACATGGGATGGGGTGGGGACTTTGGTGAGGATTGGTGGCACTGGTGTGCGGGTGGCAGTATTGCTGGTGTGTGTTAGGATACTGTTCATTTATTATTCGTTTTGAGCTGCTGATTCTGATGTGTTGGGGTGGTGATCAGGGCCTCAGTTATCAGGATAATTTATCCTGATTCTCCTGAATTCAGGATAGGTGTCGTGTGCTAGTCCTGGAAAAACAGCATAACAAGAATAATTGTCCTGTAATTTCAGTATAACATTATTCTGCGTACTGGAAACTCAGGATAAGGCTGTAGGCTCAGCCCTGATGAGTCAGTATAGTGTCGAGTCTCGTTCTGAAGCGAGATGTACTGTACGTAAAATCTCCTGGGTTTCGGGCCTAAAAATATCTGTGTGCGAGGAACTCGAACATAGGAGCCAGCGAGAATCGAGCACGAGGCATTGACGTCACGCATTGCCGCTTTACCCGCTACCACACTTCACCTATCACGAAGTGAAGCACTAAGATTACAGTATATTGCCAAATGTAGCACTGTCATTTCAGCATACCTCACCCTGTGCAGCCCTGACAATTCAGGGCAAATTCTGATTTCCTAAAAACTGCCCTGAGGCCTCAGTGTACCCCCAAACGAATCTGAGGCCCTGGTGGTGATGATGGCAATGATCAAGGCCCTAGATAAGCCTAGCTGGCTGCGCAAAAAAAAACACAAGCATGGATTCACTCTATTGTGCTCCACAAGCTTTCAGTTGTTGGCACTACTTTAATTATGCTCCAAAATTCTGGTCCTGGCTGCGTATGCTATGAAATGACCGACCACCCCAGCTTCCAACCAGATGCGAGGGTGACAGATGGTCAACAAGATTACACCTTATTTGTATGTTCCTATTTTCTTATATGATTAAAACCAAATAAGCATGTGGTAAAGAAATGAGAAATGCTTTTATTTAGGCAGTGTTATAAGCAGTAGGTTAAAAGGAATGAAATATGAAAGGATACTAAAGATAGTTGACAGAATGGCTTAAACAAGTGAAGGCCTACTCAAAATAAGGAGGAAACCTTGCTAGTCGGGAATGTCGGAAATGGAGGTTCGGCACAGGTTTGGTAGCGTCAAGACGAAAGCCAAACGAGGTAGGCTTGGAAGGCGAGGGCTTCGGTCGGGGACCTCCCATCCCAACCAAGACTCCTCTCGCTTCCCCGGCGCAGCCTCGCGAAATTCGCGGGAGCACACAAGTAACACGACCTGACGGCGTCCCTCAACATGTACAGTACAATGACACCCACGCAGAGCCATACAAGAACAGCCTGACGGCGTCTTTCTTATCCAACTTACCGGCATGGCATGGCATGGCACCACAGTCCCCCCCCTTCCCCCTTCTCCGCCGGCATGGCATCCCGCGGCATGGAATCCGCGGGAGCACACTGGCCCCACAGTCTGACGGCGCCTTTCTTATCCTACTTATTGAACCGTACAGGAACACACTAGACTAGTCACTTACTTTCTTATCCAACTTACGGCACCTCGGCATGGCAATCCGGCCCTGCACAACCAGATGTCCGAACACGCCACGCTGGATTTGCGCGGCCGGACCGGCTGCGTCCTGACGGAGCCCTCGCGCCGCACCTTGGAGCATGACGTGCTGCCGCGATATTTAATGCGGCAACGCTGGTTTCCGCACACCCAGCCGCCGCTATCGGCGCGCCTTGTTTACACTACGCCACTTTCCCCCGACGGCGAAGACAAATGCTTTATTGCCGAAGTGGAAATACCGGCCGGCGATGGCCAGCCGCAGCGCCTGTTCGTCCCCGTCGCGCTAATTTGGAGCGAGGAGGCCGTGCCGCCCATTGTTCCGAGTCACCAGCACACCTTGGCGCGAATCCGCCGGAGCGCCGAGGCAGGCCTAGGCCTGCTCGCCGACGCTTTTGCCGTCCCGGCTTTTGCGCACGCGATCATCCAGGCGCTCCGCGAAGACCGGGAAATCGCCATCGCGCCGGCCGGCCGGGAGGGGGTGCTGCGTTTCCGCGGCGAGGCGGGGTTGGCGGCAGTGGATCTACCGGCCGATGCTCCCGTGAAGTGGTTCGCGGGCGATCAGTCTAACAGCTCGCTCAGCGTGGGCGATGGGACTAACGGCGGCAAGGTCATGCTTAAGCTAGTGCGACGGTTAAATCCCGGCGTGAATCCCGAGGCCGAGATGACCCGCAGGCTAACCCAGCTGGAGTTCGCTAATTCGCCCGCGTTACTGGGCGAAGTGATTCGCGAAGAGAGCGACGGCACGTGTTACACATTGGCGCTGGTCCATCGGCACATAGCGAACGAGGGCGACGCCTGGTCTTGGACCCTGGACTATCTCAAACGGACGCTGGATAACGCTACGCGGCTTACCGGCGCCTCTGGCGCGTCACTGGAAGAATACGATGCGGAACTAGCTGGTTACGCCGCCATGGCCAGTACCATAGGCAGGCGGCTGGCGGAGCTGCATAGCGCGCTCGCCGCGCCTGCTGACGATCCAGCCTTCAGCCCCGAGCGCGCCGATTCTGCCCAAGCCCAGCAGCATGCGGCGCAGGCTATCGCAACGCTGCACGACGCGCTCCGGGTTTTGGCCGAGCACCGCCGCGGCGGCGGCGGCAAACTTGACGGCCGCACGCTCGCTGCCGCCTACGCTGACGCCGACGCCGCCGAATGGCTGGAAAACCACGTCGAACCGTTGACGCAAGCGATACGCGAGCGCGCGTGCCTGGAGCAAGATTCGCTGTACCTGCGTATTCACGGTGACCTCCATCTGGGGCAGGTTTTGGTCGCGCGCAGCACCGACTCTTGCACCCACATCGACGACGCTTGCCTCGTTGATTTCGAAGGCGAGCCGGCCCGTCCGTTTGCCGAGCGGCGCACCAAGACCACCCCCTTACGCGACGTGGCGGGGCTGCTGCGCTCATTCGATTACGCCGCTGCCGTGCTGAGCCCACCGGGTCCGTTGGGGTCTGCTCTGCTCACCGCTTGCGCCACCGAGACGTTGGGGATCGTGAATAAGCCTATGGTCTCGGAACCAGCGCCTCAGCTGCACGCCTCACCTATTTTTGAGACGTCTCAAAAGTCGGGTCCGCTCACCGGCCCTGCTTGCACCACCGAGACGTTCGGGATCATGAAGAAGCCTATGGTCTCGGAACCTGCGCCTCAGCTACGCGCCCCACCTGAACCGGCGCCGCCTCAGCTACTACGCCGGGAAGCCTTGCTCTCGCGCTTTATTCAGCATGCGCGCAGTGCGTTTATGCAGGGGTACCATGCGGTGGCCCACCAGGCGCCCCACCCGTGGCTCAAGCCAGGCGCGGAGCAGAGCCTGCTGGAACTGGCGTTGCTCGAAAGAGCGGCCTATGAAGTTTGCTACGAAGCCGCGCACCGCCCTGATTGGCTGTGTATTCCAGCCGCCAGCCTGGCGGAACTAGCGCGCGGCATACTGGCCTCGCCGTCGAGCGAGGATGCGCACCAATCATGAGCGCGCCCTCGCGCCCCAAAGACGCTCCAGCTCCCCCCTGCACCCGCCGTCACGCCAGCCAGCCCGGCCGGCCTCTACAGGGCGGTCGGTCCGGTCCGGTCCTTCCCCGGCGCGCCGGCGCCCGGCCGGCGCCATTGAGCAGTTGTTGGCGGGCAGGCAAGCAAGCAAGCATCCATATCCCTTTTCTGTATTACCGGCCAACACGACACGAGCACGACGGCCGAATTCGCCGATGGCCGCACGGCAGTGACGGCAAGCATTTGGATGCCACTGTTTTCAAATGCAGTGGGGAGTGCATGGTTGTATAGCCTTGGGTTTTTTTTCAACAAAATCCAGTAGCAAGCAATGGCTTACTCACCAGATTGACGACTGCCAGAATGTTTAATGACAGCAAAAATTTGGGCCTATTCCTCTGATATGATCAACTGTTGACTGCCTACTGTGGAGTGTGACTGTATGTAGTGCTTCAGTTCTTTTCGGTCGTGATTCATGAAACGGAAATTAACTAACCAGTTTAAAAGAGCTGCTGTTACAAATGATGCACATTGATCCGAAACAGCCTCACAGAATGGTCATCTGAGCAGCTAGCCAACTCCAAACACCTCCCTCCCCCCACCTCTTCTGCACCTACCGGTACCTCCCTGTTACACCCAGTAACCCTAACCTCTCCTGCGCCTCTATCCCTCGATCCAACTTCCCCTCGCCACCTCAGCCTATGAACAGCTGCCAGGTGGCAATGGATGTCACTAAAAGCCACCAGACGCTGCAGCTGCAGCTTGGGTGGAGAAGGTGAGGGGTGGAGTGCGGTGGAAGTGGGTGAAGCAAAGGGGGAAAGGTCTGCGCTCCACAGCTGTATCACCCCATTCTCTAAGCCAACAGCAAGGAGCGAGCGTAGTGCAGCAGAGGCAGGAGCAGAAACAGGATCAGCAGGTGGGTTGGTTGTGGAGGGTTGTGGATGAGGAGGAGGGGGAGGAGTGAGGGGTGGAAGGTAAGTGGACCAGGCCACAGCCGTGACTGGGTGGGGGAAGGTGGGAAGGGTTGCGAGGAGCATGGTGGTGTGGGAGGAGGGAGGGGAGGTGGTGGAGGGAGTGGTGGAGGGTGGCTGTTCAATGACTTGCCACACCTTGACCTGCATTGTGGGGGGGTGGGGGTTTGTGGGGAGAGAGTGGGAATGTTGAGAGTACAAGAGGTAGTTTGATGAGGTGTTGGCATGACTCATTGCACCTTGGCCTGGTGCATGAAAAGTGCATGTTGGCAGGCAGCTGAAGCATAATTGTGACATCATGCCGCGTCAAACGTCCATTCAAGCAGTCAACCTCAAGGCGCGACAGACTCAAAACATCACCTCCGCTCCGGCGATTGTCACATGTAACTTCCACTCAAGCAGTCAACCATAGAGCGCGACATTTAGTGACATCAGCATGCATCAGCAGGCATGTGATGTGGCACATGCACCAGCAGGCATGTGACGTGGCACATGAGAGGGGGCTGAAACGAAGGGCGTTCATCCCACTCCTCCAGCTCCGATTCATTCCACATCCCCCCCCAGTTCAACGCTATAGCGCAAGCGCTGGGCAACTATGCGCAGTGTCATGAATCCTCCTTTGCAGACCCTCATTCTCACTCTCCCATGCGTATCCCGCTGATTCCCCCTTCTCTCCTTCCCTCCCTGCCACCCGCACTGCTGACCACTGGTTCATCCCTTCTTCCTCCTGGTGTAGGTAATCACCCTGTCCTGCAATCCTCCTGGTATCTCAGGCTTCCCTGCCCCCTCCCATGTCTCAGCGCTCATCTTAGCCGCTCGAGTCACGGGACCCAATGCCTGAGGCTTCCCTTGTCCCGCCCTGGCCACGTTGGTGATGTGCTCCTTAATGGTCCCCCCTCGGATATCTTCCAGCACTAACACTCCCGAGCCTCGAACCTCTTTCACCTTCCACCGCTCTGAACCCACAGCTAAGTCCAGCGTGTCGCGCTTAGCTTTGCGGAGGTACACCTCCTGTCCTGCCTCCACCTTGTCTCCCTTTCCTCCCATCCCTGATGCTTTACGCTGCTGGTATCGTCTAGCGTCACGCAACTGCGCCACGTGGAGATTATCCAGGGCTGCCGGAGTCAGCTCCTTCAAATACTTCGCCCTCTTCTGTGCTAACTCCGCCCACAGGTTCGGCTCATCCGCCTCTATTACCGCAGAGAGCAGCTTCGGTGCATCGACCGGCAGCACAGGGTCCCGCCCGAACAGCAGGTGGTATGGGGATAGGTTCTTCAGAGCCGCCTGCTTTGCGAACCTGTACCCCGCCAATACCCACCAGAGATCTCGGTCCCAGCTCCTTTTGTGGGTCTCACTGTAGGCCCGAAGTCCTTTCTTCAAGGTCTGTATGAGCCTCTCGGTCAGTCCGTCTGATTGAGGGTGGTACCTAGAGGTGACCCTGTGCGTGATACCCATCTCCTCTAGCAGCTCATCAAAGCTCCCTTGGAACTCAGTCCCTTGATCAGTGAGTACCTCTCCGCATGCCCCGTACCTGGTGAGCACCAGCTCCTCAAATGCGTCAGCTATCAGTGCGCTGTTCTTGCTTGGTAACGCACGCGCCTCCACCCATTTGCTAGTGTGTTCAACCATCACCAGAATGTACTGCTTCCCCCCTTTCGACAGCGGTAGCTCCCCCGCGAGGTCCAGCGACCACCTGTAGCCCAACCCGCGAATTGGTAACGAATGCAGCTCATCCCTCTCGTTCTCCAGCCTTGCTTTATTCCTCTGACAAGCCTCACAGCTCGCCACTAATCCTGCTACATCCTTTCCCATGCTCGCCCACCAGTACATAGTGCTCAGCAGCTGCCGCGTCCTGGTTACACCGTAGTGCCCCAGCTTCGCGTGCACGTTCCCCATAATCCTGGCCCTCTCCTGTGGCTGCGGCACTACCTTCCACCCTTCATTAGTTCTCAGCTGCAGCTGTTCCTGAAACCACCTGAAATGCTGCCCTCGGGCCCTGGCTCTCTCGCTCACTCCTTCCTCTTCGAGTGGCTCCCCTTTGATCCAGCTCATGGTCTCCTCATCTTCCCATATATCCCCTAACCGCTTCTTTCCCTTCTCCTGCCCCCAGGTTACTGCCGCTACTTGAGCCATGGCTGCCAGCTGTGCTACCGGCTGCATCGGTGGCGGGTTCCTTGATAACCCATCGGCGTGCTGCAGCGTTTTCCCAGGTCGGTGTCGGATCTCAAAATCGAATCCCAGCAGCTTGATGGCCCAGCGTGCGTTTCTCCCAGTCAGCTCCTGATGAGTCATCAACCACAGCAACGGCTGATGATCAGTCACAAGTGTGAAATGCCGACCCTGCAGGTAAACCTTGAAGTGAGTGATCCCCCTTACAGCTGTCAGGCCCTCCCCTTCGTAAGAGCAGTAGTTAGCCTCGGATGGGCTGCAGCTGCGGCTGGCGAAGGCTACCACTCTCTCCTCTCCTTCTATCTCTTGGCAGAGCACTGCCCCCATTCCTGTGCTGCTCCAGTCGGTGTATAAGATGAAAGGGGCATCTGCCCTCGGTATCTGCAGCAGCGTTCCTGTCCGTACTGCTTCCAACAGGTCCTGCCTTGCCGTTTCCTCCAGCTCTCCCCACTGCCAGCTCCTCCCTTCCTTCAGCAGCCGATTCAGTACGTAGGCGCGGCGGCTGAAGTTCGGAACGAACTTCCTGTAATAATTCAGGAAGCCGAGTAACGCCCGCAGCCCGGTCTTGTCCTTGGGTGCTGCCAAGTTCTCCAGCACCTTCACCTTTGCTTCCTGTATTGCCAGCCGGCCCCCCTTCACTTCAAAGCCCAGGTAAGCCACGGTCTGCCTTGCTACCTTGCACTTGTCTGGATGGCACGTCAGACCTGCAGCTGCTATTGCCTCTAGCGTCCGCTTCAGATCTTGCACGTGCTGCTCTTCACTGCTGATGAATATCAGTATATCATCTATGTAGCATGCTGCTGCCGGAATCCCCTTCAGCACCTGATCCATGGCTCGCTGGAATACTGCAGGGGCGTTGCGTATCCCGAAAGGCATCACATTGTACTCATGCAGCCCATCCACCCCGTGAAACGCTGTCTTCCGTTTGTCTTCCTCCCTAATGGCTATCTGGTTGAACCCTTGTCGCAGATCTAAGGTGGTGAAGATGGTGGCGCCCTCTAGTCGGTCGAAAATGTCTTCAGCAGTCGGCATCGGGTACCTATCTGGACTAGTGATCTTGTTCAGCTCCCTGAAATCCCCGCACATCCTCTTCGCCAGTATCTTCCCCGTGATATCCTTCCTAGCAGCTACCACTATGGCTGCGGCGTAACTCGATTCTGACGGGCGGATAATCCCTGCAGCTAGCAGCTCTTCGCACTTCTCCTTACATATGGCTGCATCCTCTGCATTCATCCTCCTCCTGCGTTGGTACGTAGGCAGCTCCGTGGTGAGGTTCAGCTCCAGCTCCCTCCCCTTATACCTCCCCAGTTCTAGCAAGTTGTATGCGAAAGTGCTCCTGTGTTGCTGTAGTACCTCCTGAATTGCAGCTGCGGCTTGCTCCCCTAGGCCAGCCCCTAATTCCCAGTCTTTACTTGGCTCTGCTTCCTTGCCCCCTGCTTCAGTCTCCTTCCCAGCCGTGGTCTTAGTGAGGGCTACATATGATGCTTGCTTGCCGCACTGTCCCTGTTCAGTCCCTGTCTTTCCTCTCTTGTTGGCCGGCCCCTTTCTCATCTCCCCAACTAACCATCTCAATGTGTGCTGGTCTATAGCTCTGCCCAGCGCCGCCCTGCGTGCCTCTTCTCCCATTCCTTCTGCAGCCGTTGCCCCCGGCAGGTAACCCATGGCCAATTCGCGTTCTAAGGCCGTCGGCTCTTCCCACCTCTTCTTACGATAGTCGTACACCATCCCTGGACCGGGTACCCCATCCACCTCCACGAACCCTCGAGCCTGAGAGTAGGCTACTAACGTCGGCCAGGCTCTCCGTGCCTCCCCCACTCGGTTACACTGGTACTGCCGCGGATGATCTGGCTTTACCACAGGGGCGGCGACTCTGCCTGGTTCCAGTATATCTTCCACTATCCGCTTCCCATCCCTCTCCACCCTTGCTAGCCTTGCTCTCAGTTCCCCTTCTGGCAGGACATTCTGCCAGAACTGTCGCACTCTATGGCACCATGCCCCCAGCTGCGCCCCATCACAGCTCACTCCCCTCCCCAGTTCTGCCTCCACCAGCTCTCGTACTACTCGGACCGGCTCCCGTGCATCTCCCCTCATATCGACATGCTCCAGTATGTAAGCATATTCCCCTCCTGCTTCTCTCGCCCACTTCATTATCGACAGAAGTGCAGCCACCATGGATGTACGCTCATCCTGCAAGCCCTTCCCTTTTCCTGCTCGTGAAGTGCCCTGGCATTCCCATCCTGCCACGAGTAGATCCACCTTTCCCCAGCTGCTTACATCTTCCTTGGTGATCTGCCCTACGTCCCACTTTTTGTTCTGCATGGCTTCCCGTAACACTCCCCTTGTCAGCTGCGCCGGGTACCGCTGTTGCAGCATCATAGCATGATTCCAAGCCATCCTCCTCACTTCTGGGTCTACTTCCACATATACCCACCTTTTCACTTTCAGTCCGGCTTCCAGTGCTGCTGCCAAGCCTGCTCCCAGCCCCCCGAACAGCTCCACCAAGGTAATGCTGTACTGATCTAAGCTGGCGGTAACCCTCTCCCTTTCTGAACTCCCGCTTCGCAGGCTCTCCTTCCTCACTCCCTCCGCCCTCCAGGCCTTCTTCGGTTCTGTCTTAACGAATCGTACTGGCAGCTCACTCAACTCTTTCCCTTCCTCTTGGAAGTCTGGGCGGTAGAGCACCTGCTCCTGCCAAGTACAAATCATAGTACCTATCTTAAACAGCAGCTCCATTCCCAGTAAGATGTCGTAGTCTTCAGATTCGGTCAGCCCCCATTGCACTCTGATCTTCGTCTCTCCTTTCTCCCCGGGCCGCAGTGTTATCTCGATCGGTTCTCGCGTGCATGGCATCCATTTAGGGGCCCCGCCGTCGGCTGTAATGATCAGTATGCCTTTGCTCACAATCTCCAACTCAGCCTGGGCCCGCAGCTGCTCTGTCAGCTTCTTTCCGATCAGCACGCTCTGTGCCCCCGTATCCACCACTGCGTTTTCCACCAGTATTCCCCGCACTGCTACTGCTTTGGGTTCCACTACTAAGGCTGTAGGCTGGCAGACGAGCCGTTCTTCAGGGTGACGACGAGCCGTTCTTGAGCTTCCACGCCCTTCTGGCTGCCTGCTCATTTTCTTCTCCTATTGTTTCTGCTCGGCCCTGCCATCTACTCCTCCGCTGCGTAGTCCCAGATCCCCTCTATCTTTTGGTGGTATAGCCATCGTCCCATACTCGGGCTCTCCCTCATCATACTCCTCCCCTTCGTCATCCTCCCAAGCCAGCAGCGCCTTCTCAGGATCCTCACTGATCTCCGCCTTCTCCATCTGGGCTTTCAGTTTAGCCAGCTCCCGTTCCAGTTGTAACTCCCTTGCTGATTTCCCTTTCATCCGATCTCCCTTACCGTAACATCTGGCTTCCGTATGTCCCCTTTTTCCGCATCCCGTGCAGATTGGCGCCTTGGGGCAATCCCGTCTAAAGTGCCCCTTTGCTCCGCATGTATCACATACTATCCCAACAGCACAATCCTTACGAAGGTGCCCCTGCTCCCCACACTTATGGCAGCGCCTTGTATCTTCTGTCTGTCTTTCCCTTCGATCCTCCTCTCCCCTTCTGCCCTCCACCGCTGCCCAAGCTGGCCTTCTCCGCTCGTTCGGCCGGCTGGAACTCGACCCCTGCATGCCATCATAAAACCTCTTCCCCTCTTCCACTTCCTTCGCCACCTGGTATACCTGCCGCAGCGTGGCTCGTACCCCCAGGGAGTACAGTCGGCTCCTCATGTCGCCTATCAAGTCTTTATCCAGCCCGTTAACAAATTTAGTCACCAAGATGCGCTCTTCCATGCAGCCCATGTCCTCCGCTAGCTCCAGCAGCCTGTTGTAATAGGCCAGTAGCGACTCCGCAGAGGCTTGAATGAAGTTCTGAAATTCTGCCATCCGATCTGCTGAATGCCCCGGGAATTGTTCTTGCAGACTCTCCAAGAATCGGTCCGTGATCATCGCCGCTGGGAAGTCTCCTCTCTTATTCTGCATCAGCAGTCCCTGCCTCTCCACACGGTAGTGAGTCAGTGCTTCTCCTTTAAGAGTCCTCCCCAAACCTCTGAAGAATTCAATGGGGTCCAGCCCCTCCCTATCCCAGCAGTAGCGGATGTCCTCTATCATCATGAGGTAGTTCTTTAGCGTAGGCTCTTCTCCTGGCGTCCCCAAGAAGCGATCTGGCACCTCGATTTTCGGTGGCGCCGCGTTCATCGATTTGCCAGTCCCCCAGCTCGTTGTCCCTCTTTCCCCACTCCCCGGAGGCCGACCTCCTCTTCCAGCCTCCATGGCTTCGTATCCTCTTGCTGAGAATCCATGATACTGTTCTCCTCCTCTCTGACTTCGTCGCTCTTCGTGCTGATCATCTCCTTCTCTCTGACTCCGCCGCTCTTCGTGGGGATCATCTCCTCCTCTCTGACTTCGTCGCTCTTCGTGCTGATCATCTCCTTCTCTCTGACTCCGCCGCTCTTCGTGGGGATCATCTCCTCCTCTCTGACTTCGCCGCTCTTCGTAATGCTCTTCCCCTCCCAGATCAGGAGGTCCTCGTCGAGGTCCAGGCCCCACAGGGCGAATTCCGCTCCCGCCTGCTGGTGAATCACAAGCAGAGCTCAGCGGCTGTTCTCTCTGTCCGCTACCTTCCTTCTCCCGATCCGATCCTTGATTGCCGCGTACGTTATTATCTCCTTCCCCCGCACGAAATCCAGGCGTCCTGGTCGGCGGATCACGTCCCTCCATCATCCTTGCTGGGAATCGGTGACCCGAGCGCAGTTGATGAGTATGAAGCTCCCGATCAAATTCACTCATTCCTCACGGCGCATCACCGCGAGCTACTCCAGGCGGCTAAGCCTGTCTCCTGTACTCTAGACAGTCGTAAAGCCTTTTTGCTTGTATGCAACAGGTCTTAAGCTCCCTCGCAAGGGCTCCGTCAGATTGCTGTTAGCTTCTCCTACTGCTAGTTCCCTTCGGATTAGGAAAGCAAATTGAAGTAAACAAGAAACATACAAGCAAAAAGCAACGAGTCTGAGCGCTACCCCACTCTACATCCCCTCCTGCCTAGGTGCCTTGTCCCACAAGCTACCCCAACTCCTAAGCGCGAGTCAGCCGAGCTGATCGCGTAGGCTTCAAGGTGCTAGCTGTGTCCCACTGGGCCCACTAGGCATGCACCGCCTTCCAGCCTGGTGAATGGCGAATTGAATTCCCAGGCTGGCTGGAATCGAATTCGCCACCAACCTCTTCACCAACCACCTCGAAATCCTCAGCAGCTCGACTCTGTGTAGTACAGTAACATTCCAAAGCAAGCACACAAAGTAAAATGCGAAAAGCAGTCAACTATAGTACAACCTCACCTTGGCTGCTGTGAAATTCACACTTAGTTGCCGGCTAAGTGTTAATAACGCGACAGCAGGCCTCTTTGAGACGAATGAGCAGTGATGGGTTCTCACCGTCTTGTCTCTTGACCCCGTGGCAAAGATGCGGCCTGAGGGCGCCCAGGAGCTGACTTGTGTCTCTAGACTCACAAGTCAACTCTGAGAGGAATGCAGGGAAGCGGTGGTGAGTTCTCACCGTCTTGTCTCTTGACCCTGTGGCAAAGATGCGGCCTGAGGGCGCCCAGGAGCTGACTTGTGTCTCTAGACTCACAAGTCAACTCCGAGAGGAATGCAGGGAAGCGGTGGTGAGTTCTCACCGTCTTGTCTCTGGACCCCGTGGCAAAGATGCGGCCTGAGGGCGCCCAGGAACACGCCCAGATGATGCGCTTGTGTGCCTCCACCCTCGCAACGAGGTGATAAGGAGCTGTGCGGGTAAATGGGAAAAGGTAGGTGGGTGAGGGTGGGCGGGTGAGAAGCAGCAGATGAAAATGTCAGTCCTAGCCATCCCAGGAGCAAGCCCAGATGATACGCTTGTGTGCCTCCACCCTTGCAACGAGCTTGTACAGGGCTGCATGGGATGGTGGGTGAGAAGACGCAGGTAAGAAAGCCTTTTTTAACAACCCCAGGAGCAAGCTCAGATGATTCGCTTGTGTGCCTCCACCCGTGCAACTGGCTTGTACGGGGCTGCATGGGTTGGTGGGGAGGGGAGGGATCGGCAAGGAAGGGTTGGTGGGCAAGACGCCGTTGAGAACTCTCAAAGTACACGAGTGAACGCTGAAAAGCCCAGAGACAAGCCAAGAACAAGGGAGCAAGATAATTTGGCGGGGCGACAAACAATAAGAGCGATTGCTGGCAGAGAATTTAGGAGGGGAAGCGGGAAGAAAACGCGTGGAGGAGAAAGCAGTGGCAGCACGCGGCCCAAAGGCAAAGCAGATGCAATGCAAGCGGCACAAGGGGGATGACCCAATATCAGCAGCACCTTTAACATCGGCAGCAGCGACAGAAGCAGCAGAAGCAGCATGGCATGGGCAGTAGTAGCAGTGCGGGTGGCAGTGAAGAGGCAGAAGTGGCGGGAACGGGAGACGGAGAGTAGGCACAGGGGGAGAATTGGAGCAAAGGGAACTATGAGCAGCGCTACAGAGCACAGGGGCCTGACGCGCTGTCAGAGCACAGGGGGCTGACGCGCTGGCAGAGCACAGGGGGCTGACGCGCTGGCAGAGCACAGGGGGCTGACGCGCTGGCAGAGCACAGGGGGCTGACGCGCTGGCAGAGCACAGGGGGCTGACGCGCTACAGAGCACAGGGGGCTGACGCGCTGGCAGAGGGGGGTAAACCACCAGCGCAGGGGACACACGCACCAGCGTCATCAGCAGCAGACGGGGCGGCAGCAAAGAGGCAGAAGTGGCGGCCACGAGAGACGGAGAGGAGGAAAGTGTCGCAAGGGGAGAAGTGCATCTGTGTCACTGAGAGCGCGTGGGCTGATAGGCACGCTGTGCTGCTGTTCAGGGAGCAAAGGGAGCTGCGAGCATCGCTACAGGAAACAGGGGACTTACGTACCTGCATCAGCGGCACCGTGGGTGGCAGCAAAGAGGCAGAAGTGACGGTCGCGGGAGACGGAGAGCAGGAGGGCATCGCAGGGGGAGAAGTGCATCTGTGTCACTGAAAGCGTGTGCGCTGCTAGGCGAGCTGCTGCTGTCCATGGGGCTGCTGGCGCGGTGGATGGGGAAGAGGAGGAGGAGGTGGTGGTGGAGGAGGAGGGAGATGGGTTGGGTGTGTGCCAGAGCCAGATTGCTGCGAAATCCGGGGATTGGGCCTGACAGGTGAGAGCGAGAGACAGGTGAGAGCGAGAGACAGGTGAGAGCGAGAGACAGGTGAGAGCGAGAGACGGGTCAGAGCGAGAGACAGGTGAGAGCGAGAGACAGGTGAGAGCAAGAGACAGGTGAGAGCGAGAGACAGGTGAAGGAAAGGGGGAAAGGGAGAGAGGAGGGAGGAAATGCAGAAGGGACAGGGAAGAAACGGACGAAAGTTGGGGGGCAGGGCAACTGAGGAGGAGAGGGAATGAGAGACAGGCAAAGCAAGGGAGGAGCCACACACGAGGCAGGGAAGGCATGCACTAGAGCTCAGCAACTCCCAAGCTCCGGATAGGAGGACACAAATAATCAGGTCAGTATGCAGCATAGCAAGCACACATGCTGCCCTGCCCCCCCTTGCCCCTCCACGTACATTCCACCCTGCACATTCCACGCTGCACATTCCACGCTGCACATTCCACGCTGCACATTCCACGTTGCACATTCCACGTTGCACATTCCACGTCGCACATTCCACGTTGCACATTCCACGTCGCACATTCCACGTCGCACATTCCACCTCGCACATTCCACCTCGCACATTCCACCTCGCACATTCCACGTTGCACATTCCACCTTGCACATTCCACGTTGCACATTCCACCTTGCACATTCCACGTTGCACATTCCACGTTGCACATTCCACGTTGCACATTCCACGCTGCACATTCCACGCTGCACATTCCACGCTGCACATTCCACGCTGCACATTCCACGCTGCACATTCCACGCTGCACATTCCACACTGCACATTCCACGCTGCACATTCCACGCTGCACATTCCACACTGCACATTCCACGTTGCACATTCCACGCTGCACATTCCACGCTGCACATTCCACGCTGCACATTCCACGCTGCACATTCCACGTTGCACATTCCACGTCGCACATTCCACGTTGCACATTCCACGTCGCACATTCCACGTCGCACATTCCACCTCGCACATTCCACCTCGCACATTCCACGCTGCACATTCCACCTCGCACATTCCACGTTGCACATTCCACCTTGCACATTCCACGTTGCACATTCCACCTTGCACATTCCACGTTGCACATTCCACCTCGCACATTCCACGTTGCACATTCCACCTCGCACATTCCACGTTGCACATTCCACCTTGCACATTCCACGTTGCACATTCCACCTTGCACATTCCACGTTGCTTAATCTGACTTTATACTGCTGCGTCTGTCTCTCCTACCTTGCAGGCAGTTGCCAGGAACCTTCCGCCGTGGTCAGCAGCGCAGCACAGGATCTCATTCCCGTGTCCGTACAGCTTTCGCACTTCCGGCCAAAGCGTGCCGCCCGCCAGCTGCTCCTCTCTGGGCGGCTGCTGCAGCACGGCGGGCGGCAGTGGCATGGCGTCGTCAGCATCCCCGTACTGGGAGTAACCGAGGGAGGATGCTAGCGTGGAGTCAGGGTCGCTGGGAGCTGAAGCAGCGGGAGAGGGAGGGGGCGGGACGGACGGGGGGAAGGACGGAGAGACAGAGGGAGGAGAGAAAATGGAAGGGGGAGGGAGGTAAGCCCTGGCATGGCGTCGTCCGCATCCCCGTACTGGGAGTAACCGAGGGAGGAGGCAAGGGTGGAGTCAGTGTTGCTGGGAGCTGGGGGGGAGGGCCCAGAGGGGAGGGGGAGGTGAGCAGCGGGATGGCGTCGTTAGCATCCCCCTCCCATCGAGGGTGGCGTACTGGGAGTAGCCGAGGGAGGAGGTGAGAGTGGACGACGCCCAGAGGGTGTAGAGGGCCCAGAGGGTGTAGAGGGCCCAGAGGGTGTAGAGGGCCCAGAGGGTGTAGAGGGCCCAGAGGGTGTAGAGGGCCCAGAGGGGAGGGGGAGGTGAGCAGCAGGATGGCGTCCTGGGAGTAGCCGAGGGAGGAGGTGAGAGTGGAGGTGGGATCGCTGGGAGCTGGGGAAGGAGGGAGGGAGGTGGGGTTAAGGAAGGGGTACGGGAGGAGTGAGAAAGAGGGTAACATGGGTGCCACGCACGCGATATTGCGAGCGCACAAGACAGTGGGCAATGCATGCACAGACAGTGGGCAATGCATGCACAGACAGTGGGCAATGCATGCACAGACAGACAAATCATGGCTCCTACACACACATACCATTCCCACTCACATGCCAGTGGCAGCAGCAGAGTAGACGGGCCTCTGCGAGGGACCAAGACTTCTGAAACACACATGATGGGTGAACATCGGTAACTGAAATGTGAGGTTCACCCACAGTGGTGAACCTCACCTGCCAACCCACTCACATACCAGCGGCAGCAGAGGAGTAGATGGGCTTTTGTGAAAGGCCGAGAGCAGACATGCTCGCTGCCATCGCCACACCCTTCCCTTGCTGCGCCACTGCTGCTGCTGCCGCTGCTGCTGCATCCCCCTCTCTGCTACCCTCCCGACAAGCACCTCCCCCCTCCTCTGCTGAAGGGCACGAGGCAGCAGAGCGGGTGAAGAGGAGGGAGTCAAGGAACAGCTGGGGCGACTCAAACACGCGAACCACCTTCTCCTCCGCGCCACTCACGTACACCAGACCCTGCTCCGCCCCACCCTTTGATCCCTCCGCCCCCTCTGCCCCTCCCTGTGATTCCTGTGCCCGCTCCGCCCCTCCCTCTGATCCCTCCGCCCCTCCCTGTGCCCCATCCGTCCCGCCATCCGACCGCCCTGAGTCTCCCCCTACCCCGTTGCACCTCCCCTCCCCACCAGCCCCTTCAACAGCACCGGAACCTCCGTCCGAGCCGTCGCCGAGCCTGAGGCTCGGGCAGAAGGCGGCGCATTTGAGGTCGTGGCCGTGCACCTGCGGGCGAGCCGTCTCCCGCCACCCCTGTGCCTGCTGCTCGTCCGCACCACCACCACCACCACCACCACCACCACCACCACCACCACCACCACCACCACCACCACCACCACCACCACCACCACCACCACCACCACCACCACCACCACCACCACCACCACCTGTACTGCCGGGCGCAGCGCCGCCATCCTCCCAATGGGCAAAGATGCGAGCAGTCTGTCAAGAGAAGCACCCCACAGATTGAGAGGGAGAGGGAGAGGGGAAACGCCACGGGGGGCGCAGCACATTTGAGGGCCAAAGGCTTGACTTGTGTGTGGCGTGGCCGACTGTACCCACTCAACTCGTGGTACCGACTGAACGTGCTGCTTCGTGGTATCTCAATCCTTATGGACCCACTCAACCTGCCTCACGACTCACAAGTCTCCACCCGTGGGGGCTGAATTTATTTCACGTTTACGATGTGTGCGGCACCTGCTACGGTACATGCAACAGTGCGAGGAACGGAGACAAGTACGAAAGGGGCAGCAGCACAGACCGGAGCAGGGAAGGGCAAGGCACCTGAGGGCAGGGAAGGATTCATGTTTGTCTACCAAGCACCCATGCATTAATAAAAAATAGTCCTATCACCTGGTCGCTACTGACGGACAGCAGCAGCTGCGAGCGAGCATCCCAGCACAGCACATGTCCACCACTGGCCCTAAGTGCCTTGCGTGAGTTGACTCAAAAGTCATTTCTCACCTCACCTCGTTGCTGGCCTCACCTGGTCGCTACTGACAGACAGCAGCAGTTGCGAGTGTGCATCCCAGCACATGTCCACCACTGGGCCAAAGTGCCCCGTTGGTGCCACCACCGCCCTCCACTCCTCCTCCCTCTCCCTCCCCTCCTCCTCCCCTCCTGCTCTCTCCTCCCCTCTCCCGTCCACACTGCCACTACATTTCACCTTTCCCTGCGTTCCTGCACTGCCCCGGTCCTCGTCCTCCGTCTCCTGCCCGCGTCCTCCCGCATCCTCCTCTCTCGCTCTCCCATAGTCCCGCCACATGTGCAAGCTCCCAGTGAACCCGTGGGCCAATACCGCGTCGCCACGTGGCGACCACACACCGCCAAAGAACCCCAGAGACGAGTGCCCCACCTCTCCCAGGCTGACATCTGCCAGCCAGAGTCCTCCAGCCCCCTGCCACGTGGCAGGCTGCCACATCAGCATGGTGCGATCCATTGATGACGTCAGCAGGCGCAGGGGCTGGAAAAGAGTGGCTTGTGCAGGATTGGAAGCAGCAGGTTTGGAAAAATCAGGCTCGGAGCTGAAAGGCTTGGCAACAGGTAGAACAGGAACGGAGGACGGGACGGAATGGCGAGAGCGAATAGGAGGGTGCCACGTCACTGAGTGCACCCAATCCTCGTGCCCCACCAGCAGCCCATCCAGCATGACCTGCCACGTGTCCTCTCCTGATTGGAAGCAGGGGCCAGCTGTATAACCCCCTAGCTCCCCAAACTCTTTTAGAAGATCGGAATCAGCAGCACTTGCACCGCTGCTGTAGGCCGTGTCAGTGCCAGCAGCAGCAGGAGCAGGAGGAGAGAGCGCGAGCTTCCACACGCGCACGTTGCGATCCTGAGAGGCAGACGCGAGCAGCACGTGGGGTGTGCTGGGGGACGCGGGTGCTGCCGCTGCCGCAGCTGCTGCTGCTTCAGACGGCGGAGGTGGTGGCGCAGCAGATGCGGCAGACGCAGTGGAAGCAGGGGGAGGGGCGAGCATGGGGAGGGAGAAGGCGAGCGAGCGGATCCAGTCCTGATGGCCTGCCAGCGAACACACCCTCGTGAAGCGCACCGAGGGGGGGAACGGCTGGGGGGGTGGGATGGGTGGGGTGGGGTGGGGTGGGGTGGAATGGGGCGGGGTGGGATGGGATGGAGTGGGGTGGGATGGGGTGGGGTGGGGTGGGATGGGGTACGGTGCAGACATTTGCAGATAAGTGTTGGGGCACACACGGGGGATCAAGAAGAGCAGGAGAGTGGAGGGAAGAAGGTTATACAGGAGAGAGGACGTGCGATTTCATGCGAGGGAGGTGGTGAAAGAACAGCCATGAGCTACTCTACTCAGGGAGGTATGAGCCATGAGCCATGAGCCATGAGCCATGAGCCATGAGCCATGAGCCAGGGAGGTATAGTGACGCCAGGCCAAGGGCCTTGTAACGGCCCCACAACAACGAATGAGGCACGGCTCACAATGAGTGAGGCCGGCCGGTGCATAGGTAGGCGACAATAAGGCATGTGAGTGTGAGAAAGTGTGAGGCACGTTATACATCATCTGCCCGCCTGCAGCTACGGGCGCCGTTAGAGGTGCACTTTGTTACCCAGCCAGCCCTCCCAGCGTCAGCAGCACACTGCCACGCCTCGATGCATGCACACTATACATATAATCCTGCCTGCAACTGCAATCAAAGCCCCCTTTCAAAACAACCCCTTGGACCCACCATGAGCGGGCGAGTGTAGAGGTGCACTTTGTTGTCCAGGCCCCCCAACGCCAGCAACACACTCCCATGCCTCCCTGCAACCCCACCCCTCTCTCCATCGCCACCCCTACCCGCCCCTGCCCCCCCAGCAGGCAGGCAGCAGAGCGCAGAGGCCTCCATGCACAGCCCGCCCACTTCGATGCGCTCCAGTGCACTCAGGGAGAACTTAAACCCTGAGTCCCGCTCCCCACATGGCGCTGCTGGCGCCGATGCTGACTCTGCTGGCACCGATGCTGCATCTGCTGCGACTCCCGCCCCGCCCTGCCAGCTGGTGGCCCACACGCCCACTGTGCCATCCGCCGAGGTGGTAACCACCAGTGCAGCCGGGGGTGGAGGGGGTGTGTCGTCAGGTGTGTGGGGGGACGGCGTGTCATCAGGTGAGTGATGAGGCGGGGCAGGGGAGAGAGGAAGCAGCAGGGAGGATATGCTGGTGATGGCCTTGCTGTGCGCTGCTGGCAGGTGCTGCTGCTGCGACCACTGCGAGGGGGGTGAGAAACGGGAGAGATGGGAACCAGGGGACAGGGCATTAGGCATGTGGTGAGGCGTGTGTGGAGGCAGGGCAGAGGAGAGAGGCAGCAGCAGGGAGGATATGCTGGTGATGGCCTTGCTGTACGCTGCTGGCAGGTGCTGCTGCTGCGACCACTGCGAGGGGGGAATGGGCGGGGGGGAAAGAGGAGAGAATGAGGAGAAGGAGATGAGAAGAGGCATGTGAAGCAGGGCTAGGGCACAAACCGGTGAAGAGATGGTGGAAGGGCGCAGAAGGGAAGTGTGGCAGCACTAGAGAGGGTGGAAATTGGTGGATGGAAGGATGAGAAGAGGACAGGAAGGGAATCAAACGGCAGGCACAGATGCAGGAAAGTTTGTGCTGCTGTTTTGTTTTGTAATTTGAATTGGATTGGATCCACTGCTGCTCCTACCCCACCCCTCCTGTTTTTGTTGTAAGTTGGATTGGATTGGATCCACTGCAGCTCCTAACCCTCCTGTTTTGTATCTTGCATTCCTTTGTCCACCCCTCACGTTCCTTCCTTCCAGGTACCATAACCTCTCTCTTCGTCCTGCCTGCTGCCTCCAACCCACCAGCTCCCTTAATCCTCCCCTCCCCTTGCCTCGTCTCATAGGGACTTTCCGCTTCCCCATTCGTCTCTCTCACTCCTCCTGCTAACACTCGCCTCTTGCTCACACTCGTCCCCCATGTTTCCGCTGTGTCCTTCTCTCCGCTCCCACACCCCCCCTACCTGCTGCGAGCCCCTCCTCACTTTACAGACCACGCCACTAGTGACCTCCTTGAGCTGACGCGTGCTTCCAATGCTTCCCGTCGCCACTACCCCCGCCGCTTCCTCCCTCACTTCCCATCCCACCACCATCCCTGCCTCCTGCCTTCCACTAACACTAGTCCTCTCATCTTCCCCGCATCCTCCCCACCACTCCCATCCTCCTCGCACGTGCTGGCAGCCTCTTATAAGTGCGTGATAAGACCATTTTACAGTCCATGCCTCTTGCCTTGCGCCAACACTAGCCCCCCACCCCACCCCACCCCACCCCACCCCACGCCTCCCTTGCATCCTCCTCCCTGCAGAGCTTCCATCCTTGTCTCACCTGCACGTGTAGCGAGGTTGTTTTTGAGACGTCTCAAAAATCCATCCTTCTCCCACCTGCTGGGAGCCCGCATGGTAAGACCACGCCACTAGTGACCCGCTTTCGCTGCCCCATCAGAGCACATACTTACCCCGTTTCCCTACCCCACGAACCCCCCCTGCCACCACTCCCCCCTCTCCCCCCACCTGCTGGGAGCCCGCGTGGTAAGACCACGCCACGCCACCAGTGACCCGCTTGCACTCCCTGACAGGAGCACGTACTTCCCCAACTTCCCTGCGTTTCCCGCCCCCACTCCTCTTGCCTCCCCTCTTCCCACCAGTCCCCCCTCTCCCCTCACCTGCTGCGAGCCTGGGTGGTAAGTCCACGCCACCAGTGACCCGCTTGCGCTGCCCGATAGGAGCACATGCTCGGGAGGTGCGCTGGTGCCTGCAGTGCGGGGGGAACGGGGTGGGGGATGGGGAAAGGGGGGGACGGGGGAGGCAGGAAGGGGGAAGGGGGACAGAGAGAGGGGGGCAGGTGAAGGGAAACACATGCCACCAGTGACCCGCTTGCACAGCCCGATAGGAGCACATGCTCGGGAGGTGCGCTGGTGCCCGCAGTGTGAGGGGGGGGAAGGGGATGGGGGAAGGCACAAGGACGACGGGGGAAGGGGGATGGGGGAGGAAGAACACACGCCATGCCACCAGTGATCCGCTTGCACTGGCCGACAGGAGCACATGCTCGGGATGGGGAAGGGGGATGGGGATGGGGAACGGGGATGCGGAACAAGAGAAGTTGAAGGGGAAAAGGGGGAAGCAGTAACTTGGCAGATAAGGCAGGCGGTGCGCTATTCTGTAACCGCCTTTTTTTTCAGCAAAGGCTTGTGTAAGGCTGAACAAGATGCAAGTGCTGGTTACCAGGTAACAGGTGCAGGTGTTGCGGCAGCCAGTGGCAGCAGTTGACTCGAGACGAGTGGCCTGGCAGCTGCGCCACCAGCCGTGATTTCTGCACGCGGGGAGCAGAGAGACGCATTTGGGAGGAAGGGAGGAAGTGTGGGGAGGGGGCAAACCAGAGCGTACCGTCCAGTCCAGGAAGGTTGGAGACGAGAGGGGAAGGGAGGGGAGAGGGGGAAAGCACGAGAGGGGAAGACGAGAACGGAATAGCGCTGAAAGCGGCAAGGGGGGGGGTTGGGACGGATAGAGTGAGTAGAGGGCAATGAAATGCAGCTGGGTGGGAGAAGGGGCAAATAGTGAAACGAAAGATAATACCGCTGGTAGCTTTTTATAGACGGAGAGGCGCACCAGGAGACGCAACAGACGGCGAAGGTCTTCGAACTTCAGTGCAGGGTTTTCCGGGGTTGGGGGTTTAAGGATGTAACGGACAGATAGAAGGGTTGATGCCCTACAGAGCGGCAAATCCCGGATATTTTCACCCCGCGCGAGGGTTGGTCTCGCGACTGAACGTCGCATGTGGCGACGATTGGATACCAGCTCGCATATTGGGTCGCATATGTCGGTCTAGAGTCGCATCATACGTCGCACTTGATTTTCGCACACGTCACACCTCAGCGTCGCATGGGTCGCACCTGAGCGACTCATCTGTCGCACCTGAGTGTCGCATATGGCGACGCCGTGGTGCGCGGCGAAGGCGAGCAGCCCCGACGGGCCCCACGCAGCAGCGTGCGCGACACGATTGCATCCGACGGCGAGGAACGACAGATCCACTGCGCATTTCTCGGTGCTGTAAACGGAGCCGCTGTTAGCGGAACTTTTGTTAACGGTCCTGTTACTAGCGGAGCTGCTGGTAGCATTTCTATCACGTTGATTTGAACCGCCAGTCGTTTCATTCTGTGCCATCGAGCAATACTTCGCGTCGAGCAATCGCCGCGTCGAGCAATTCAGCGAACTGACGCTCACACGCTCACACGCTGACTGACGGTTCCACCGAACACCCGCCCGGTACGCGCTTTTCGTGGCGCCGCAGAATCACCCACCAGTACGGTTGAAACCTCGCCCCAAGGATCCTGCCTCTAGAAGAACCTCCTATGAGTAACTTAGGAGGTGTCCAGCTCGTACATTTACTGTTATTAAACCCGCTCAGTTACCACATATTTTTATGTAACACTGTATTGAACGTGTTCTGCGGACACAATCAGCTTTCGTTCACAAGACGGCACGCCCCATGCACGTACCTCGAGTCGTCTGACTCACGTTACTGGAATCAGCGGGACGCGAACAAGGGTGCAGCACCGCGTCCTGACCACTACAGAAAGTACCCCCTGTATCGCTTGCATGATTTCGCCAGTAGCTCGCTACGCTCGCCAGCACCCCCTCCGCGTGCCCAGAAATTCGTTAGCTATGATTGACGACAGAAACTGTTACCTCGTTTCGAACGCGGTCAGAGCACTGTTGATTCGTGTGACGGGGAACGTGTCCGCGCTCCTGAAATTACAGATGGTTGGACTCAACTCACAATGCATTCGTTTTTAGGTACAGTGATTAATTTTGAACCTCGAGACGTGTGTTGGCACTAAAAAGCCCGAAATGAACGAACTGGACACGCCCTCAGTGCATATGCCGTGAGCGATGTGCGGAGTGGGAACACAATGTGATGCAGTTCACATTCATTCACTTCCCTTCTTTCATCTTCGTTACGATTGGTTCTGATAAGCTGCTGAATGAAACATGATTTAAGCATCCGGTATACCTTTAGAAGGCAACGCTCCTCTCCTCAGAAGGAGCAGATATTCTGTATCAGTGATAGATGGTTCCCTTGCAAATGTCCCCTCTTTTCTCAGAAACGGCATTGAAAAAAGAGACGTAGCAATGCACAAGTTAATAACAAACGGTTAACTGAACGACTTCTTGCTTTTAACGTAGCTCTACAATATAAAAACGTTGTGGGAGCACAATCTCCCATGAGAGAATTAGAGCGTGTTCCTACACCTCGTGTCAGACACACCTCGTATCAGCTTCGCATGGTGAAATACGTTTCAGTGTGTTCGACTGCGGTTGAATGCGTTCTAGTGCAGTTCGGCGCCAATCTGATACGAGGTTGCCTGATATGAGGTTGCAGGAACACGCTCTTATAATACATCATGATGATCCGGTGGTTCTCAATTGTGCTAAATAACTGGGATTGCAGCATAACGAGCCAATAGGACGTGCTGATAGCATTATCTGCGCCACGAGATGCTGGAAGGATCATGAACAGGAGAGCTTGGTTGGCATGGCAGATATCCTGAAACCAGCAAGCATCATGAGCTGATAAATTTGGCATGAGTTGCTGGACTCATGAAAAACAACTGTAAATGTCAGGACACAATCATGAGCTGATGGAACAGGAATGAAATACTGACGGCATCATCAGCTGCAGAGACTGCCAGGGGGTGCTGAAAGAGGGTGCGATAGTGAATGCGCCATCAGCTGGCGAAGTTGCCATGAAATGCTGATAGCATCATGGGCAGGTGAACTTGGAATAGACACCGAAACCATCAGGCAGTGGTTGAACTGGCACTAGCTGCTGTTGCAAACATCATGTGTTTGTCAAATAGGAACGAAATGCACGGATAGGTTTCTGACTCGTTGAGAGTGGCAAGAGATGGAAAAGCATGATGAGTAAAGGAGGAGGGAGGAGGGAAAGAGAAAGGAGGGAGCAAAGGATGGAAGTAGATAAGGACAGGGAGACATACACACAGTGGGGGAAGGGGGAGGGAGAGTTGGGAGCAAGATGGGTAATCAGGGAAGCTCTTACTTTTCTCAAATCAGTCCAGTTCCCTCCCACGCACCAATCCCTCACAGTATCATGCTGAGCTGTAATTTGCTCGAGCCACTGAAAGCATCATGATGAGCTGATGTGTGAATGGCACGAGGCTGATGAGGTGAGTGAGGAACGGATGAAAAGCAACATGATAGGGTAAACGAGTGATGAGCTGAAAGACTCGCATGAGAATCTCAAAGCATCATGGCATGAGCTGATGAGTTGGCAGGAAATGGTGAACGAATCACACGCTGATGAAACTGGCATATGATGCAGAGCATCGACATATGCTAATTTGAAAGTGCAAATACTACACACAGTAACAACCAGTCTAGCTGATGTGAAAAAGGGTGGTACTATCCTGGGTTTCTTTAACGTTTGTGCTGTTCACGTTTCAGATTAATGAAAGAAGAGGAGGGGGGGAAATGAAAGAAGAGAAGGGGATATGGACGTGTGGAGAGAAAGGAATCATGAGCTGTTGTGAATGGCATGAGAGATTGAAGCAATTATTATGAGCTGATCAATTCGAAATGACATGATAAACGCAATATGAACTGAAAAGACTGCAAAGAGGAACCCAAAGCATGATCACATGAGCCGATGATTCTGGAAAGATTAGGCGAACGCATCAGGAGGTAATCAAACTGGAATGCAATACCCACCACGCAGCACATGATGACAACTAAGCCTTGAGCTTGTAAATGCAAAGTACCGTTTAGATCTCAGATATCTGAACGGAAGGGATGGATGGGATGGATGGGATGGGTGGTGGCGATACAGAGGGGCAAGAGATGTCGGGAAGGGATGGGGGAAGAGGCGACTGTGTGGAACCCTTGGAACCCCCAACCATGACCTATGCCTTGCAAAGGAAACATGTAAAACAAAACCTAAGCACGTGGAAAGAGAGGGGATGCAGAGGGGAGGAAAAGGTAAACAATGGGGTGAAGTCGTGACCTGTTTCTATGCTGCTTCAAATGAGAACATGGAATGATGTCATGACAAGAGAACTACAACTGCTGACCAGCTCAGCAAAAACATTCCCCTTTATTAGAAAGCCAGTGCCAGCACCCGTCAAGTCTTCTCCCTTCTTCACCGAACGATTCTGTTCCGTCATCGGTAATAGAGTGGAAATGTGGCCGCGTAGCGGCGTGGGGCAAACGCGACTGAGACGGAGCCTGTAATGCGTCGCATCGCAAGGCGAATGAAGGCATCTCGCTGTCAGGAAACGCGCCTCGCACGCATGCTTCTAGCAAACTGCTCCCGAGGAACTAGGGTTCGGTCTGGCATCCCAAACCAGTGAATGTCGGAAGGAATGACAAGTGAAACTAGTGATTCAATATTTGCATATTTGTTAACCGTAAGGCAAATGTATGATTCATATGACCTTAGAACCTTGCAACTTTTTAGATTCTCACTATTATTCTCATCAATTTCTTGTTTTCTCGTAGCTCTACAAACCTTGTGGGAACACCATCCCTCATTATAGAGAATTGAAATCATTCAGGATGATCCGGTTGTAGATTGTGATGAATAACTGGGATTGCTGTAGGATTGAAAGCATAACAAGCCAATACAGTTGGCATCACAGGCTGAGAGCATTATCTTATCAGCTGACGAATTCGCAACGAGATGCTGGAACGATCATGAGCAGGTGAGCAAGGTTGGCAGATATCCTGAAACCAGCAAGCATCATGAGCTGATGATTTTGTCATGAGTTGCTGGACTCATGAAAAGCAACTATATATGCCAGGATACAAACATGAATTGCTGCTGGAACAGGAATGAAATACTGAAGGCATCATCAGCTGCAGGGTGCTGAACGAGGCGCCATCATGTTGAAAGCATCGTGGGCGGGTTGAATTGGCATGAGCTGCTGTTGCAAGCATCATGTGCTTGTCAAATTGGAACAAAATGAGCGGATAGGTTTCTGACTCGTTGAGAGCGGCAAGAGATGGAAAAGCATGATGAGCATGTGCATTTGGCATGAGATACTGAACACACCAGGTAGGAGCTGCTGAAACTTACATGAGATAGGTAAGGCATGACGCGGTGATGAGATTGACATGAGCTACTACAAAAACTATCAGGGGCTGATGAAATGCATGGTGAGCTGACGAGAGTAGCATGACACACTGGGAACAGACATTGGGGGTGGAACTGAGAAACAAAAATCACTAACAACCTTCAAGAGTTGACTTGAGAAACTGGGAGCATAAGCTGCTGAGACTGGCATACAATACGAAAAAGATCATGATCCTGACTGTGGCATGAAATACTGAAAGCATCAAAAATGAGCTATAGAATGTGGCAAAAAAAGGAATTCCGTTTACAATATCTGCTAGAGGAATGGTGTAAACAACCAGGGGTGCTGACAGCATCACTGCTGGTTGATACTCAGATGATTGTAAGAGGAAGGAGGGAGTACAAGACGGAAGTAGGAAAGACGATGGAAACATATACACAGTGGGGGAAGGGAGAGGGGGAGTTGGGAGCAATATGGATAATCAGGAAACGTTCTATATGTTTCTCAAATCAGTGCAGTTCCTTCCTACGCACCACTCCCTCACAGTATCATGCTGAGCCGAAATTTACACAAGCCACTGAAAGAATCATGAGCCACTGAAAGCATCATGAGCAACTGAAAGCATCATGGGCAACTAAAAGCATCATGAGCAACTGAAAGCATCATGTGAGCAGCATGAGCAACAGAAGTTGGGGAAGGGAGGGGGAGTTGGGAGCAATATGGATAATCAGGAAACTTTCTATATGTTTCTCAAATCAGTGCAGTTCCTTCCCACGCACCACTCCCTCACAGTATCACGCTGAGCCGAAATTTACACAAGCCACTGAAAGAATCATGAGCCACTGAAAGCATCATGAGCAACTGAAAGCATCATGGGCAACTAAAAGCATCATGAGCAACTGAAAGCATCATGTGAGCAGCATGAGCAACAGAAAGCAGCATGAGCAACTGAAAGCATCATGAGCAACTGAAAGCATCATGAGCAACTGAAAGCATCATGAGCAACTGAAAGCATCATGAGCAACTGAAAGAATAATGGGCAACTGAAAGCATCATGAGCAGCTGAAAGCATCATGTGAAAGGCATGAGGCTCATGAGGTAAGGAACAAATGATGAGATAATGAAAGCGACATGAGAGGGTAAAAGAGTGATGAGCTGAAAGATTCATGACTTGAGTTGATGAGTTGGCAGGAAATGGTGAAAGCATCACAAGCTGTTGAAACTGGCATGCGATGCAGCATCAACATACGCTGCGTCAAAAGAACAAACATCACACGGACCAACAACAAGTTTAGCTGGCGTGAAAAAGAAGAAATAATCCTGGATTTCTTTAACATTCCACTGCTGTTCACGTTTCCGAGAAATGAAAGATGAGGAGGGAGGGGAGGATGGGAGTAGGCGATGATATGCAATTGTGATGAGGAAAGAATTATGAACTGATGTGTGAATGGCATGAGAAAATGAACGAATGATGATGAGTTGATGATTTTGGAATGAGATGGTGAACGCATCATGAGCTGATAAGACTGCGAAGGGAAACTCAAAGGCAGGATGACATGAGCCGATGAATATGGCAAGAATTGGTGAACACATCAGGAGGCAATTAAACTGGAATGCAATACCCACCAAGCAGCGCATGGTGACAACAAAGCCTTGAGCTTGTAAATGCACAAGTACCGTTTAGATTTCAGATACCTGAAAGGAGGGAAGGGATGGGATGGGATGGGATGGGATGGGATGGGATGGGATGGGATGGGATGGGATGGGTGGTGGTGATACGGAGGGGCAAGAGATGCCGGGAAGGGATGGGGGAAGAGGTGACTGTGTAGAATCCTTGGAACCCCCAACATGACCTCAGCCTGAACTGCAGAGAAAACATGTAAAACAAATTCTAAGCACGTGGAAAGAGAGGGGATGCAGAGGGGAGGAAGGGTAACAATGGGGTGAAGTCTTGACCTGTTTCTAGGCTGAATGATGTCATGACAACTCAGCATAAGCATTCCCCTTGAATCAGAAAACCAGTGCCAGCACTATCAAGTATCTTCTCCCTGCTTCAACCATCCATAAGAACACACCCACCAACCATTCCTCCCTTCCACGCACCAAACAGTCTCAACACACAAGCACAGAATGCACATCAACAGCATACATATAAGTAAAGCATCAACAACTACAAGCCTACAAGCTACAGACCTAGGACATTAATTATAATAGTCTAAAACATTCTACTATTCATGAGCCAAGCAAGTGCACGGTGCAGCAACAGATGGCACAGTCAGCATGTCCATTCCCCTTGCAGCAGACAATCAGCACAAGCATTCAGATCCAAGGGCATGCCATTCCCCCTCATGCCATGCCTCCCCATTCCAGCTCACCACATTCCTCCACCTCTCCTCCCATCTCTCCCACAACACCCTGCAAGCAGGGTGGAAAAAGGGGTAAGTCCCTCCATGCACCTCCCTCTAGCCCCCACCAACCATGCCATCTCGCCCACCACACTCGTACCTTCACATCCCCATTGAACACGCCCTGGATCTTATCTGGTGCTGCTGCAGCTTTTTTTTATTTTTTCCTTTTTTTTGTTATCATTCACTTGGCTGCTACCTTCCCTGGCTTGGGAATGCCACTCGCCGTGGCTCCTGCTGCAACCCTCCTTGTTGACGCACTGCTTGCAGGTCTGGGGATTCCAGACTCGCCAGCAAGACCCACCTTCATGGTGAAAGGAGCTGCTGCTGCGGCTGCTGCTGCTGCTGGGCTGCTTGCACCTGCAGCCTTGGCAGTAGGGCTTGCACGTGTCGCCTTGGCTGGTGCCCTCTTAGTTGGTGATGCTGGCGTCACCTTAGCTGGCGTCGCCTTAGCTGGCGTCGCCTTAGCTGGCGTCGCATAAGTTGGCGTCGCCTTGACTGGCGTCGCCTTAGCTGGCGACAGCTTGGCTGGCGTCGCCTTGGCTTGCGTCGCCTTAGCTGGCGTCGCATTAGGTGGCGTCGCCTTAGTTGGCGTCGCCTTAGTTGACGTCGCCTTCACTGGAGTCACCTTAACTGGCGTCGCCTTAAGCGTCGCCTCAGCTGGCGTCGCCTCAGCTGGAGTCGCTTTACTAGCTCGCGTGGCTTTCGCTGCAGCAGCTGCGACGGTCGCTTGACCGCTCTGCACCGCTGTGGGCTTCACAGCAGCAGCGGTACCCATCACATCCCTGGGCCTGGGCTTCTTGCTGGGCGGCTTAGCCACGGGCTTGGGTCGCAGAGGGGAGAAGCCGAGCGACGCACGGGGGGAGCGCACAGCGCACTGCTCTTTCTCGCTGAATCGCCCCACGCGCCATGCAATTGCGCGCCGCCACATCTTCAAGACGTTAGCGCCGCGGCGCGTGCTTCTGAAGCTGCTGCTGATGTCGCCCAGCGCAGGACAGCTCGCGGATCCAACAAGAGACGGGGTGGTCAGAGATGCCATCGCACTAGGAGAGAGCGGTCAAGAACACGGGCCGGAAGAGAGCCGAAGCTAGGAGCTGAAGCTTATCAAAGTTCCGAGGAGCTAGAAGGTGAGTCTGAGAGTTGAAGTAATAAGGAAATCGCAACTGCTGTGGTGGTGGTAATGAGGAGGACGGGTGTGCTTTGTAGTGTTTGGGAAGGGAGGAGGTTCCAAGGCGGAGGGAGGGGTGGATGGAGCTCGACTGGCGAAAAGCAACTCTCGAGGCTCCGGAGGAAGCAAGCCTGCTGCCCGAACCGAGTGAAGACATCCCGAAAATTGCTGCGGGGAGGGTCTGTTTTGGGTTTGGAGCCGAACCTACGGAGGCTTGGGACAAGGAATCAGTTGTTCCATCCCATCGCTCGAGCTGAACTTCGAAATTCGTCTTCGATCACGGAAATTCTGGGCAGCGAGCTCATGCAATGTCGCTGCCCAGGAAAATAACAATTTTGTCGCATTTCCGCTAACCTCGGCTGCTTCCCGAGGATTGAGGAGCGGCTCGTCTACGGAAGACGAAGGGCTATGCTTGCGGTTGACTGGATGATGGGTCAAGTGAGGAACTTTTGCCGTCGTTGGATCTGCTCTAGGCGGCTAGAAAAAGGTTTCAATCCGTTCCGTCATCGCCAACGGACTGAAAACGCCGCTCCACAGCGGCGGTCGAACGCGACTGAGTCGGAGCCTATACTGTACCCGCGTCGCCACTTGACGGAAGTCATCGCACTGGTAGCACTCCATTTTCGCTGTCTGGGAAGAATCAATGGTCTCCTGATCTGTTTCCTAGAGCTGCGTCTGACAAATCGGCCTCGAGAATGGTGGGAAGGGGAAAGGCTGGGATGCGAGATTTGCAGATTCGCCAGAGGTATACTGTGATGTTCTTTATTATTCAGTATACTTACCGTATGTGATTTTCTGCCTTAGATCATTGTGAAAGTTAAGAATCAATGTTTTTCTGATCCAGCTCAGCTGTAATAATAGCTACATCTTTAAATAACCTAAACACATATACCTCATTAAATTTCCCAATGCGCATGCTGGATAAATCAGCCCAACAAGCCTGAATAATGTTAGAGTACATCGATATGCAAAAACTGAAATGTCATCTTGATCAGCGCACACCACCACCTGATCAATAGGAAGGATTTTCACGTTGGCTCCATCTAATATTCCAGACCAGCGCACACCACCACCTGATCAATAGGAAGGACAAGGACTACCGTATTAGCTGCAGAGAACGCAGGTATCCAACACCAGCAGCACCAGCTGCGCCAGTGATCAAGGGCTCTGCCTATGGAGGTGATGGCATGGCAGTCGTGATGAGGGTAAGGACGACAGTGAAAGCAGTATGAGCTGAGCTGAACAATTCACCACGAGATGGTGCAAGCATCATGAGATGATGAGCTTGTTTGGCATGGATACTGAAATCGTCAAATCAGCATGAGCTGCCGCAAGCCTCATGAGCTTATGATTCTGGCATGGGCTAGTGAACACATTAGAAGTCACTGAAACTACAGGAGATAATCATGAGCTGATGAAATGGGAATGACATAATGACACGTTGAGAGCATCATGAGCAGGAGAACTTGACATGGACACTGAAAACATCAGGCGCTGATCAAACTGCCATGAGCTGCTGCAAACACCATGAGCTCATCGGATTGGAATGAACCTGACAAGAGCTGATGAACGCATGATGAGCTGATGAAATTTTCATGAGGCAATGAAAGGAGCTGCTATATTTTACATGAGGTACTTCGAGCCTGATGCGATGATGAAACTGACTAAGGCTAAAAGCATCATGTGCTAATGAGATTGGCATGAGTTATTGTGAGCATCATGAGCTTATGAGATTGGCATGGGATACTGAAAACAGCATGCAAATAGAATTTGGGCATGAGACGCTGAACTTACCTTCACCAAGAATGAACACGAGAGCCTATGCTGCTGGGATAGGCAACAAATACCGAAAACATCAAGAGGTGATGAAACTGGCATTAGATACTGAACCCATCATGAATGAGGGAATGAATCTGGCATGGAATGAATTAGCAAGAGCTGAAGACATCATGAGGAGTTGTAAACATCATTCGCTGATAGATTCTGTTTGCCTCATAACATGCTGCAGTTGCTGTGAAAACGGAATAAACAACTGGGAGTGCTGACAGCATCAGAGCTGGTCAATTCTCATATACTTGAAAGTAGAGGAAGGAGGGATTGAAGGTTGGAAGTAGCAAGGAAGGAATATGGACATACAAACAATAAGGGAAGGGGAAGGGGGAAAAGTGATTTTCTGTCTGAGTAGTGCACGTAAGCCGCTCACAGGGGACTACTCAGTGTAGGTCCAAATCTCTCGAGGTTAAGCCTTCAGTCAGAACGACTGGGCCTCGAGAGGGGATTCTGAAAGAGCTCACTGCAGCGGTGAGGAAAGGATAGGAGGTTGAATGATTGTGAAGGGAAAGGAAGTTGATAGGCCAGGAAGGAGGGGAGTTGCGAAAACAGTGGAGACACTGATACTATATATGTTGTTTTCGAAGAGTAACAGATGGGAAAAAGTGCTGAAGAAACCGCAGGGAAACACTTCTTAGAAAGAAGAGGGACAGGAATTCCCGGCAGTGCGGAGAGTTGGTTGTGGTGAAAGAGGGTGGATATACAAAGAAGCAAGGGGTGAAGGGGGGGGCAGGGGGATTGGGAGGTTGATGGGGGATTGGGAGGTTGATGGGGGCTGGCGGGGAAAGGGGGGGTAAATGAAGAGAGCAGTGGGGGGAGGAGATGCAGTGAGTGTGAGTGAGAAGGGAGATGAAACGGAACTGGAATTGAAAGGGCAACCAGGAAGAAAGGAGGTTCTGAACACGGCAATACAAGGGAAAACAGCACGAAAGCGAGGACTGGACTGGACTCAGGAAGCAGCAAACAGAAGCAAAGCAACACCTGACGTCAGCATGAGCATTCCCCTCGAATCACCCAGCCCAGACCAAGTCAGCAGCATTCAGTCACTTCTCCCTGAATCACCCTTCCTGCACCCAGATCCTCTCAATCGCCATTCCTTCCCCACATGCTCCACCCCCTCACAACACAGAAGCACAGAATTCACATCCATAGCAAACACCTTTATAAATATAGCTTAATGACTACATATTCCTAGCCTAGAACACAGCTTAAGACTACATGAAGCTTTGCACTATTCAAGAGCCAAGCAGGTGCACGGTGCAGCAGCGGATCCAAGGGCATTCAAGAGCCAGGCAGCTGAGCAGCAACAGATGCAACAGAACACAGTCAGCATGAGCATTCAGGCACATCAGCAGCGGATCCAAGGGCATGCCATTCCACCTCATGCCATGCCTCCCCATTCCAGCTCACCACATTCCTCCACCTCTCCTCCCATCTCTCCCACAACACCCTGCAAGCAGGGTGGAAAAAGGGGTAAGTCCCTCCATGCACCTCCTTCTCGCCCCCACCAGCCATGCCATCTCACCCACCACAGTCATTCCTTCACATCCCCATTTAACATGCCCAGGATCCCATCTCATGCTGCTGCCATTTTTTTTGTTATTCGTTTCTCTTTTCTTTTCTTTTTTATTTTTCTTTTTTTTTCCCCTTTTTTTCCAATCATTCACTTGGCTGCTACCTTCCCTGGCTTGGGAATGCCACTCGCAGTCGCTCCTGCTGCAACCCTCCTTGTTGCTGCACTGCTTGCAGGTCTGGGGATTCCAGACCCACCAACAAGACCCGCCTTCATGGTGAGAGGAGCTGCTGCTGCTGGGCTGCTTGCACCTGCAGCCTTCACACCTACCGCGGCAGTAGGGCTTGCACGTGTCGCCTTGGCTGGTGATGCTGGCGTCGCCTTAGCTGGCGTCGCATAAGTTGGCGTCGCCTTGACTGGCGTCGCCTTAGCTAGCGACAGCTTGGCTGGCGTCGCCTTGGCTTGCGTCGCCTTAGCTGGCGTCGCATTAGCTGGCGTCGCCTTAGTTGGCGTCGCCTTAGTTGGCGTCGCCTGCACTGGAGTCACCTTAACTGGCGTCGCCTTAAGCGTCGCCTCAGCTGGCGTCGCCTCACCTGGCGTCGCCTCAGCTGGCGTCGCCTTAGCTGGTGTCGCCTTACTAGCTCGCGTGGCTTTCGCTGCAGCAGCTGCGACGGTCGCTTGACCGCTGTGCACCGCTCTGGGCTTCACAGCAGCAGCGGTACCCATCACATCCCTGGGCCTGGGCTTCTTGCTGGGCGGCTTAGCCACGGGCTTGGGTCGCAGAGGGGAGAAGCCGAGCGACGCACGGGGGTAGCGCATAACGCACTGCTCTAACTCGTTAAAGCGTCCCACGCGCACTGCAATCGCGTGCCGCCACGTCTTCAGTATGTTAGCGCGGCGCGCAGATCCAGCAAGAGACGGGGGAATCCGAGATGCCATAGCGGTAGGCTAATCGCACAGGCGAAACAAGAGGCGAAGCTAAAACCTGAAGCTGATCGAAGCCTCGAGGAGCTAGAAGCTGGGTCCGAGAGTCGAAGGCAAATCGGGATTGCAATTACTTTGGTGGTGGGAATGACGAGGACAGGTGGGCTTTGTAGTGTTCGGGAAGGAGGTTCCAAGGCAGAAAGAAGAGTTGATAAAACTCGACTGACGACTGAGCAATTCTTGAGGCTCCGGAGGAGGCAAGCCCGCTGCCCGAACCGAGAAGAGCAAACACTCCGAAACGCATGGTGGGGGGAATGATCTGCTTTGGTTTGGTTGGAGCTGAACCTTCGGAGGCTTGGGAGCGGAACTTCGATTTGACTGCTATCGGCAGCAACAGCGACTCTTTCGCTTTGGACGACGAGGATTCTGGGCAGCGCAAAACAGAATCGAGACGCATTTCCGCTAAGCTCTCCCGCTGCCCGAGCATGAGGAAGAGGTTCGTCCACGAAGAAAAGGTGTCTGCTGGTGCGTTGACTGGATCATGGGTGAACTTGACGGACTTGCCGTCGTGAGATGAGAGCAAGGCTGCTCAACGAATGGTTCCGTTCCGTCATCGTCAATAGAGTGCAATTGTCGCCGCATAGCGGCGGGGCAAACGCGACTGAGACGGAGCCTGCGTTGCAAGGTGACTGAAGGCATCGCGCTGTCGGGACTCGGGAAACGCGCCTCGCAAGCATGCTTCTAGCAGACTGCTTCCGAGAACTCGGAACCTGTCTGGCATCGCAACCCTAGGGTGGCGGGAAAGAAAGAGATGAATAAGAGATGCGATATTTGCAAATTCGTTAAAGCTCGCGTCTCTAATTTCCAACCGTTTAACACTTGGTTGGGTTTGCCAGGGTTTGATTGGGTAACGAAAGTCGAAACATTTGACGAGTGGGCGAAAAAAACACAGCGAACTCCAAAAGATCGAGGCCAAAACAAACCAGGGTGGGTTGGTTTGGGGGGAAACCGAGGCAAGGGTGACAGGTTTGGTCCTGGGTTCTGTCAACGTTCAGTTCAGAGTCTCATATTTTTGGGAGTTGTAAACACTTGGTGTGCACGGGGAAGTGTGCGACAGCCAACTTTCCCAACCACCCCTTGCTTTGGTGTGCTTCGCGACAAACTCTGCTGTTACCGGATTCCAACCGTTTAACACTTGGTTGGATGGCAGAAATATGAGACGCGAGCTTTAACGTGGTGCAGATGTAAGTTTCAGAAGAACTTGAAACCGTGACACTGTTTATATTCACACCTCCTCATCTCAAGACTGCGGTTTTCATCATAGCTCTACAATATACAAATAAACTTGGACGTCGTGGGAACAAGATCTTACAAATAATAAAGACAATATTTCAGGATGATATGGTTCAAAATCTACAGCATCATCAGCTGAAGAGTTTGCCAGATGCTGCCAGCATCACGAGCAGGTGAGCTTGGTTGGCAGATATCCTGAAATCAGCAAGCATTATGAGCTGATGAGTTGGACATGAGTCAATGGACTCATCAGAAGCAACTGAAAACCCCACAGGGTATTTATGAGCTGATGAAATAGGAATTAAATGCTGATGGCATCATCAGCTGAAGAGGCTGCCACTAAAAGTTGAAAGAGGATGCAATAGTGAATGCGCCATCAGCTGGCGAAGTTGCCATGAAATGCTCAAAGCATCATGAGCAGATGAGGTAAGACCGAGACGACTTGGATGACCCGATGAACACATTAGCCTGCTGGGCTACCAGCAGGTTCGTCAACGCTCACATTCCTGTGTCCAGAAAGCTGCCCTGGAGCCTCCCAGCAGTGCAACGCAGGGCATAGATGAGGTAAGACAGAGGAGACTTGGTTGAACCAATGAACACGTCAGCCTGCTGGCTGGGGTATCAGCACATTTGCAAGCGCTCATACTCCCGTGTCCAAGAAGCTGCTCTGCAGCTTCCCAGAAGTAGAGCGGAGCGCGTAGATGAGGTAAGACCGAGGAGACTTGGTTGACCCGATGAACACATCGGCCTGCTGGGCTACCAGCAGGTTCGTGAACGCTGCTCCCACCACCTTCTGCAGCACCTGCTGCTGATTGGCGCTTGCTCCTGTGGATGACGAGGAGGAGGAGAGGCGGGGCGTGTGCGAGTAGAACCACGTCCACCTGGGGGTTGCTGCTAGCTGATCCAATGGCTGGTGGGCAGGGAGGGGCGGAAGGGAAGGCAGTGACAGGAGAGTGCAAGGTGATGAGCAGGAGTAGAGAGATGGAGGAGGAGTGGAGGAGGAGGAGGAGGAGGAGGAGGAGGAGGAGGAGGAGGAGGAGGAGGAGGAGGAGGAGGAGGAGGAGGAGGAGGAGGAGGAGGCGGAGGAGGAGGAGGAGGAGGAGGAGGAGGAGGAGGAGGAGGAGGAGGAGGAGGAGGAGGAGGAGGAGGAGGAGGAGGAGATGGAGAGACGGGGAGTGCGAGTAGAACCACGTCCACCCGGGGGTCGCTGCTAGCTGATCCAATGGCTGGTGGACAAAGGGGAGGGCGGTGGTTGGGCAGGGGGAAGAGAGTGGAGGGAGAGAAGAGTGCTTGGCGATCAGTAGAGGTGGAGTCGCGGGGCGTGTGCGAGTAGAACCATGTCCAACCAGGGGTTGCTGCTAGCTGATCCAGTGGCTGAGGGGAGGAGAGGAGAGGCCGACGGGCAGAGGGGGAAGAAAATGTGGAAATGAGGAAATGAGGAAATGTGGAAATGAGGAAATGAGGAAATGAGGAAATGTGGAAATGAGGAAATGAGGAAATGAGGAAATGTGGAAATGAGGAAATGAGGAAATGAGGAAATGAGGAAATGAGGAAATGAGGAAATGAGGAAATGTGGAAATGAGGAAATGAGGAAATGAGGAAATGTGGAAATGAGGAAATGTGGAAATGAGGAAATGAGGAAATGAGGAAATGAGGAAATGAGGAAATGAGGAAATGAGGAAATGAGGAAATGAGGAAATGAGGAAATGAGGAAATGAGGAAATGAGGAAATGAGGAAATGAGGAAATGAGGCAATGAGGCATTAGTGTTGCGTGATTTTTGAATCGACTTCGAAATTTGCTTCATGATGAGTGGAGGTGGGGAGATAGGGGGAGGCTTCTCTCGGATTCCATGCAAGCATGAGATGGGCGGCAGAAAGAAACGTGTGCGGCCTAGACAAGTGGCACAGAGAGGGGGTAAGGATGGAGAACAGGGCTCACCGCCCCCTCACCCGCTCAACCACCCCCTCACCTCCTGCTCATCAGCAGTGAGCCACACGAAGCGGGCAGCACCCATGGTTCTGCACACCCCGCCTGCACACCCACTAACCCTGCCCTGCCCACGTGCTTTGAGACGTCTCACAACAAACCCCTCACCTCCTGCTCATCCGCAGTGAGCCACACGAAGCGAGCAGCAGGGAGGTGCTGCCTCATGGCCAGCAGCGCACCCATTGACCTCTGCACGCCTGCCTGCACACCCACTCATCCTTCCCTGCCCACGTGCTTTGAGTCGTCTCACAACAAACAAACCCCTCACCCTCCACTCACCTCTTGCTCGTCAGCAGTGAGCCACACGAAGCGGGCAGCAGGGAGGTGCTGCCTCACGGCCAGCAGCGCACCCATTGTCCTCTGCACAGCCGTCTGCACGCGCACTTGCCCTGCTCTCCCCACGTGCACGCCCACCAGCGGTCGTAGCACCCACACAGCCCGGTGCCGCCGCCACAGGTCACTCTCCATGCTGCCCGGGGTGCCTTGGATAGAGGAGGGAGCATCTGCTGAGGAAGTGGGGCTGTGTCTGTGACTGGCGGTGCTGGCAGTGCTGGCAGTGCTGGCTGTGCCGGCAGTGCTGGCAGCCCAATCTCTTCCCGTCTGCGATACAAGTCTTCGCCGTTGCACCTGCTCCTCTGCTGCCTCCTCCTCCTCCTGCTCCTGCTTCTGCTCCTGCTGCGGCTGCTTTTGCTCCTGCTCCACTCCCTTTCGTGCTGGCTGCTGTTGTTGGCTGTTGTCTGTTTCTGAGAACGTTCGGCAAAGCCCGTGGAGCGGGAGAGATTTGAGAGCGGTAACAGACATGAGACATGCGACAGAGACGAGAGAGATGTGAGAGATGTGAGAGATGTAAGAGAGGTATGCTTGTAATCTGAGAACCGAAGAGAGACAGAAAAGAGTGAGAGAAAAGAGAGGGAAAAGAGAGAGGGAAAAGAGAGAGAGAAAAGAGAGAGGGAAAAGAGAGAGGGAAAAGAGAGAGGGAAAAGAGAGAGGGAAAAGAGAGAGGGAAAAGAGAGAGAGAAAAGAGAGAGGGAAAGGAGAGAGAAAAGTGAGCCATGAGGGACAAGAGAGTTGCAACGCACTCACACTCCTCCCACGTGCAATCCCTCCCATCGCAATCCCTCCCTACCTCACCTGCCACGTCAGCGTGGGCCACAGCAGCTTCCCCCAGCGCAGCCATCCGTGCGGCCACTGGCCCAAACTCAGCGTGCCGGATGACGTTGCTGACGTGGCAGAGATAGGGGGAGGGCGCGCGCAGCAGGAAGCGCAGCGCCTGGGCGCGCCACCACAGGTGCTTCAGCCTGGTGAGAGTGGGGAGAGAGAGGGGGATGGGGGGTGACAGGGGGTTGGTTGTGGGGTTTGTTGTGCCTGGGCCAAGGGGAGTGAGTATGGCATGTGCAGTGCAGCCCAAGGGGCAGCATGGCACGTGGGCTAGGACGGTGCTGTTGGGTGGAGATGGGTATGGATGGATGCATGGCAGGTGGATCTGCCTAGTCGCCGCAGGAAATGAGTATATTTCTTGAGCCGGCCCAAACAATAGACTCATCACCCACGGCTGATCGCCGCAGGAGAGTGCGAAGCTGGGCTGACGGCGACTTAAAGGCGAGAGTTGAGAGGTGAGAGTTGAGAAGTGAGGAGATGAAGAGACAAGAGGAGGAGACGGAGAAGGGATGCTGGTCACGGAAGCTGTGTTTGAAATTACTTGTGAGGGATCTCGAAAGAGCTCTTGAAGGAGTCCCATAGCGTGATTGTCATTAGCGTAATTGTCATTAGCGTGACTTTCATTGGCGTGATTGTCAATAGCGTGATTGTCATTAGCGTGATTTTCATTAGCGTGATTGTCATTAGCGTGATTTTCATTAGCGTAATTTTCATTACCGTGATTGTTATTAACGTGATTTTCACCAGCGTGATTGCCACCAGCGTGTTTGCCACCATCGTTCCTTATTCAAACCCCTCACGTTTCGTGCTTTCCTTCTCTTTGCAACTGTTCCAGCCTTCAGGTTGCCAGGATGGCTGCTCAGCGAAATCGTCACGGAGTGACACGACGAAGGAAATATGTATGGATGGCCCGGATTCATTATAAAGGCAAACAAAATTATCTTGGGAGCAAGAGCACTGAAGAAGAAGCTCTCAAATTCATTTTGGCAAACAAATTTATCTTGGGAAACTCATTTTGGGAGCTTCTTCTTCAGTGCTCCTGCTCCCAAGATAAATTAGCTTGCCTTTATAATGAATTCGAGCCATCCATCCATATTTCCTTCGTCATGTCACTCCGCGACGATTTCGCTGAGCAGCCATCCTGGCAACCCGAGGGCTGGAACAATTGCAAAGAGAGGGAAAGAAGGAAACGTGAGGGGTTCGGATAAGAAACGATGGTGGCAAACACGATGGTGGCAATCACGCTTGTGAAAATCACGTTAATAACAATCACAGTAATGAAAATTACGCTAATGACAATCACGCAAATGACAATTATGTTGTTGGACTCCTTCGAAAGCTCCTTGAAGAATCTTCGACAATCATGTCGAAGATGCATCATGTGCTTCGAAGAAATTGGTGTGCTCAACACCAAACTCACACACCGCTCTTTCATCTTCCTCCTCGCATCTTACCGATTCAGTTGCTTCGGATCCGATCGGCTTCCATTCACCCCATCGTCCCTTCCTCTGCCTCCCCCACTCCCATCCTCCTCCACCCCTCCCCCTCCTCCTATCCCCCCCATGGCCTCTTCCCCTGCTCCTACTCCCCCCACACCCCATGGCTCCCCTACTCGCCCCACCATATCTAGCCACGGTTTCCCCCACACCCTCGGGACCTCCGCTCGAAAATATTCAGCTGCTGACCCGGTCCTGCCCGGTTTCGCTTCTTCTACACCCTCATTGGCCGAGCTGTCGACAGATGGGACCTGATTGGCTGGATTCTCCGCAGCTGCCACGTCAGCGTCGCCCTCGTCCCCCTCGCCCTCGCCCCACTCCTCCAGCGGCGCCTCTGTGACTCTACGGCCCGTGACTATAAGGGGGTCTGCGCCAGTATAGCTACTAGGCAGCTCTGACAGCTCTTTCACTCGCCTGTGTGGAGAGGGGTTGTGGAGAGGGGTTGTAGGGAGGAAGAGGGTTTTCATGACGTCTCAAAAATCCACTCCTCCAGTTGCGCCTCTGTGACTCTATGCCCCGTGACTATAAGGGGGTCCGCGCCGGTGTAGCTACTAGGCAGCTCTGACAGCTCTTTCACTCACCTGTGTGGAGAGGGGTTGTAGGGAAGAAGAGGATGACTTTTGAGTCGACTCAAAAGGCAGCTCTAACAACTCTTTCACCCGCTTGTGTGGAGAGGGGTTGTAGGGAGGAAGAGGATTTTCATGACGTCTCAAAAATTCACTCCTGCAGAGGCGCCTCTGTGATTCTACGCCCCCTGACTTGGGGTCTGGGCCCACATAGCTGGAAGGAAGCTCTGATAGCGCTTTCACCCGCCTGTGTGGAGAACGGAAGGGGAGGGGGAGAGGGTGGGAGGGGATGAGGGAGAGGGGCAAGGGATAGGGAGGAGGCGGAGTGAGGGCGGGGTGAAGCAGGCGAGGTATTGAGTGCAGTGTGGGACGGCTGCCTGTGGGTTGTAAAGAGGCAGCCGTCCCCCGCTGTGGCGACCCAGAAGGCCCTTGTGTGGGAACAAAACGGCAATGACACCAGAAAAGCACTTCCCTCTGCCACAATCGTCCCCCACCTCACCTGCGAGTTTTGAGGCGCCTCAAAAGCACAACTCCCCCCCACCTTACCTGCGGTCGTAAGTGCGCACCACCAGCACATCACACGCCCATTAGGTCCTTCGTTCAACCTCTTCCCGCCCCGCCTTTCCCTCACCGGCATCTCACCTGCGGCACTCATCGGATGTTTCAGGAAGCGAAATAACAATGCCACTGGGCATTTGCTTCCCCTTCACACCCCGCGTGCTGAGCACGGTCATAAATGCACGCCACCAGCACTCGCCCCTGCTGCACCCCACCCCTCCTTGCACCTCACCTGCGGCACTCATCAGACGTCTCAGGGAGGAAGTAGCAGTGCCAATGCGCATTGGCCTCCCCGTCACACCCCGTGTGATGGGCGCGGTCGTACGTGCGTGCCACCAGCACGCGCCCCTGCTGCACCGCCTGCCCCAGCGCTGCCACCACCAGCACTACTCGCCAAGTAACCTCTTCTCAGTGTTTCTATCACCCCACACCTACACTCACCTGCGGCACTCATCAGACGTCTCAGGGAGGAAGTAGCAGTGCCAATGCGCGTTCGCCTCCCCTTCACACCCCGCGTGCTGGGCGCGATCGTAAGTGCGAGCCACCAGCACGCGCCCCTGCTGCACCGCCTGCCCCAGCGCTGCCGCCATGTATGCCAGCTGCTTTTCAAAGCCGTCTCGCCGCCGGCGCTCAAACGCCGCGTACATGAACCTGCAGAGCAGACGTGGGAATATGTGATAGGGAAGGCAACAGGGAAAAGGGGGCAATGAGAGGACGAGGGGAGGGACAGAGGCGATGGGAGCAGATGACGCCAGTGGCAGGGGGGCGAGGGGAGGGGAAAGGGCATGGCGTTGGGACAGGAGAGCACAGCCCGCTGCATGGGGGATTGGGATAGGTGAGGGGATTGGGGGTAGAGGATGGGCGGACGGGAGGATGGGCGGAAGGGAGGATGGGCGGAAGAGGGGACGGGGGGAGGGGGAGCGCACCGCACATGGGGGAGGGAGCAGTTGGCGGGGAACTGGCGGCGCCACAGGTGGGTCTGCACGAGTCGCGTCAGCGGCAGGTTGGCGCCCTCCCCGCCCTCCACCCATGGCGGAAACGGCCCCTCCGCTATGACGTCAGCATCCGTGCTCAGAGAAAATTGCTGGGAAGAAGGTTCAGCTGTCTCAGCAGCAGCAGCAGCAGCAGCAGCACCGCCAACACCACTAGCAGCAGCTGTTGCTACATGAGCACCTGCGCCCCCACCATGATCCGCCTTCTCCCTCACTTCCCTCCCTCTCACCCCCTCATCCTCCTCCTCGCCCTCCCCCTCTTCCTTTTCCCCTTCCTCCTCCCCTTCCCTGTCCACCGCTCTCTCCCTCCGCGGAAGCATCTCGTATGCGCGCGGGTCTCGCGACGCATGATCGCGCGCCTGCCACGCCACAGCCCACGGCGGAAGCGATCCGTCCGCAGGCCGTGCCGCCCACCACTCCTCGCGGTGCAGCCTCGCGCGCTCCGCGCAATCCACCAGATGGGGCGCGCGGGGGACCGGCGGGGCCGGGGGAAGAGGTTCTTTCGCGGATTCGCCTAACGGGGAAGCTGTTTCCTCCTCCGCGGCATTGGCAGGAGCGTTCCCCTTCGCTCTCTTCCCCCGCTTTTTCCGTCCGTTTTTCGCATTTCGTCCTTTTCTATCCGTTTCAGTTGAAGGCGAAATGGCACGTGTCGGATCCCAAGCGGCCAGGAGCTCTTTCACTCGCGCCTCGAGACGTTCGGATGGCACCGCCACGTCGACTGGCGCTATTTGCGGGACTAACGAGCCAATCAGCTGCTGCGAGCTGAATAACGGTTGGCTTGGGTTCAATTGAAGTGTAGCTGCTGGGACTGATGATGACGTGTCGAAACGGGGTGTCGAACCGCGCTCGGAGGGCGGCTGGGAGGAGAACAGAGGGAGGAGGAGAAACGACGCGCAGAGCGCGACGAGCACGATGATGAGCAGCGACCGAGTGTGGCTGCTTGCGGGAAATGCGGCGGCCATTGCGGGGAACCGGAGGCTGCTGCCTCTATTACCATGACTACCTCATGCGCTTCGAGAGCACGGCTGCTAGAACTAGCTTGGGATTGATTCTGTTGAGTTCGATTGTGGTGAGGAGGACGCTGTTGGGTTGGCTTGGCGCGCTCTGTTCAAATAGATACGAGGGAGAAATGAGCCATGTTTTGGCGGGAACCAAGCACAATATGTAAAAATCCTCGAAATAGGCTGACGCGCGATTGTAGTTCTTATGGATATTTTGCAAACTCGGTTTGATATTTCCCAGTGCAACCAAACACACACCCACACTGTTCTGCTTGAGCAAGCTTCACCGTACTAAAACGTACAAACCCGTTTGGAAGCTGACTTCGTCGGAATCAACCCCGCTGAAGTCGAAAACCGGCAAAAAAACACCATTTTTGGGTCGCGATTTCACAGGATTTTTGCAGAGATTCTCTTTGCTCCACCACACCGCTACTCCACCTATTTCCTGGGCTGGTTCGGCAGCACAGGGGATCCACCGAGGGATCGAGGGGAAACCGAAATTCTCAGCTAGGGTTTCTAGTTCGGGGTGGTCAACTCGGAGTCAACCAGCGTTGACTCCAAGTCTGGGGTCCAGGTGCAAGCGGAACCTTTGGGGGAAAATGCGCGGATGGGCGACGCGGGATTTGGGGGCCCACGAAACTGCAGCCGCACGAAACGAAACTTCGCGAGCTGAACAGTTTTTCTTCTCCCTGCCTCATTTTACTGTTGCGATGGGATTGGGTATATCACTCCCCGCAAACATTTAACACTATAAATTAAAATGAATGTCTTAAATGTCGTGCTCACCCATTTGACCTTATTGAATACAGCTGTTTTCCAATACATTTCCGATGTCCGGCTTACCCGTCAGTTTGGAGTGTGGGGTACTATCATAAAACAATCTCGTGGTTGAGGGAATCCACCCCCCGTGGGTGAGGCCTTTCACGGGAGTGCAATTTGGATTCCGTGGGCACTAGGGCGGATTTTTTCCGCCATGGGGGAGGTTTTGGGGGAGGATGCGGCGCGGGTTACCACCTAGCGTGGTGTTCGCGTCGCGTTTTAGGCTTACGTTCGACATTTTTTTCACATTTTCTAGCCTGACCGAAGTGTTTTGCCTGGTTCGTACTGGTCGAGCCTGGAGGCTCGCCATTTTGATCCTCCATCAAACCCCCTCCCCTGGCTGCCGAACATCGCCCTGGTGTGTCCATTGCGCGCCAAATGCTCTCTCCATGCGCCTAGCATTCGCCCTGTAAGGCACCGGAACTGGATCGGTGGGCGTGTCGGGTGCTTCCAATCGAGAGCTCGTGTTTCGCCGACTCGTCCCATGTCTAGTCGGCGGTCGGCTATCAGCCGTCTCACCACTACCTGTCGCCGTCTGCTCGCGTCGCCGTCCAACGCGCTGCCGTCTGCAGCCACGGGATCCGCGATTCGCTCCCCGCCCTCGCCATCTGCCGCCCTTCCGCACGACCACCGTCTGCTTGCGCGCGACATTCCACATCTGCGCGCGTCCGCCCATTCACAGCCATCGTTTCTTCCGCCGTTTTCTCCGCACACGCGCAACCTCTCCCGCCTCTCTACCGCTCCTCCTACATCAGCCTCCCCCGATCACGCGCTGCTTCCGCCTCCTCCGCATTCCTCCTGCGCGCTTCCGCCAGCCACAGGGCTTTCGCCGTCGCTCCGCCGCTTCAGTGCTTCCGCGCACCTCTCCGCGGATTCCAAGCCCCGCAGTCGAGACAGTGAGGAGGGGGGGAGCAGGTACAATCGGGAAACCAGACGTAACGCGGCGGAGAATCTGCGCGCGGAGCACCGGCGCGCGGCAGAGGACTGGCGCGAGGAGACCCGGCGCGCGGAGGAATGGATCCGGTACAGCGGAGAGCCGCCGCCGCCGCGAGACACCGCGCGCAGCGCCGCGGCCGGCACATCTCGCAGGGGAGATCAGCTCGCGCGGCCGCACGGCCCGCGCGGCGGCAGGGGGAGCGGCGAGCGGAGCGACTGGGGCGAGCGGACCAGTAGTGGCGGGCGGAGCGATTGGGGCGAGCGGAGCGATCGGGGCGGGCGGAGCGATCGGGGCGGGCGGAGCGATTGGGGCGGGCGGAACGATCGGGGCGGGAGAAGCCGTGGCGGAGGGCGGGAACAGCAGCAGCACCACCCAAAGGCAGAGGCGGCGAGGCGAGCCGCGCGGCACAAGCGGATCCTAGAAGAAGAGGAGTCGCCGTCGTTCGAGAAATGGCTGCAGCGGCAGGGCGGGGGGAGCGCTGCACGCGAGGGCAGAGGGGGGAAGCAGTGGCGCGAGAAGAAGGTGCGGTGGGTGGCGGGGACGTACGCAGAGATGCGCGCTTCACATGGCATGCGGCTGCTGAACGCCCAGCGCGCATGGATGGAGAGTGAGGACGTGGCGATGGTGGCGCGCCACCTCATGCACATGGACGGCCACGTGGCACGCACGGGGGGCGGGGATGCGGGTGGGGGTGGGGGCGGAGACGCGGATGGGCTAGACGTTGAAGGGGAGGAGGGGGAGCAGAGGGGTGCGGATGGGGGAAGTGAGGGAGACGCACTGCAGCAGCAGTGGCAAGAGCAGGGGCAGGTGCAGAGGCAGCAGCAGGGGCAGGTGCCGGGGGGAGAGCAGGCGCAGGAGCAGGGGCAGGGGCAGGGGCAGGGGGGGGGGCAGGAGGAGTATCACGGGCACGAGTGTGCATTGCGAGTGCTCAAGTGGGGCCACAGCATGGGCATCTACTCGCCTGCCACGTCACCCCGCGAGGCCATGCTGCTAGCGCGCCACCTGGCGGGTCGCCAGCGCGTCGCTGACATGCTCGTGCTGACACAGATGTTCCTCGCCGCCCGCCCGGCGCCTCCCGTTTTTGCGGAGGAGATGCTGGCGGTGCTGGCGGCGTGTGTGCGGCACAAGCGGGCGGTAGACGCTGCGGCAGTGTACTCGTTTGTGAGGGGTGTGGGGTGTGCGGAGGGGGGAGGTGGTGGTGGAAGGGGAAGAGGGGTGCGGGAGGGTGTTGATGGGGGGCGAGGGGAAGGGAGGTTGAGGCAGAGAGGTGTGGAAGGGGGGGAGGTGAAGGGGGAGGAGAGAGGGAGGGGAGAGGAAGTGGTGATTCCGCAGAAGCTGCTTCAGAAACTTCTCGAGGTTTGTGAAAGGTTTGTGTGTCAGATGGGCTGGTGTGCTGTGCGAATGGGCGGATGGGGGAAGAGTGTTCATGTGGTGTGAGGTTCAGTGCGGCATGTTCAGCTGGCGTCAGTAGTTGCTGTTGTTTTTTCTGCCAACTCGTTTACCTTTCCAAGGCAGTGAATGGGGTGGGCATGACATGGAATGACATGACATGACATGACATGACATGACATGACATGGCATGGCATGGCATGGCATGCCATGCCATGCTGTTGCGATGCTTGCAACTTGGTGACGCTCTGTGTTCGATGCTCAAGCCCGCCTATCGAGGTGACTTTTGAGTCGACTCAAAAGTCAACTTGGTGACGCTCTGTGTTCGATGCTCAAGCCCGCCTATCACGAAATCCCTCTCCCAATCCACCTCCTCAACTTTCTCCCGCACCTCTCGCTCATCTTCCTCACCCGGCCTGCCAGTGTCTGCAGCAGCCAGAGCACGCCGGTGTGCATGCACAGGTGAAGGCACATGTGGAGAAGGAGTTGCGCCTGCATGTGGAGTAGCCGGGTCGTTCTTGCAACGCTGGAAAGGTGGAATAATGACTTGTTGGTGTCATGCTGGCCTGCTGGCATGCCACAGTGGTCTTGCAGCAGAGTTGTCGTCGTCACCTAGGTGTCGAACCTGCCTGGATTATCAGCGAATGGGTCCAATGGTAACAACGAAATGAATATCAAATCACACAGAAATGATAAAGTTTGAAAGTGTAACACTTCCTAAATTTTTGTATTGTGAAAGGGGGTACACATGAAAGGTACTAGCGCCGAAGCGCTACGAACCCTCTTTTGCCTACAAAAGAGGGACGTGTGAAGCCATGTGCCCTCACCGCGTTTTTCATTTCTACTTGTAGTTTCAATTTCTCGCTCTCGTCCACACTGGCGAATACACAATCACTTCCGCACTTCAAGGCCCCGACAACACTCCTCACCGACATCTTCCTGCGCAACCTCGCAACAATGGCTCCGGTCAACACGACTCTTAGGGTGCGTTCCTGCGGGGACACTTCTGTCTCAATCACTTTGTGACACGCGAAAACAGCATATACTGTACTGCGTCACAAACGCGGATCGCCCTAGTGCGATTTTTACTGTATTTTACATTGGTTGGCATGAATTGCGCTGGTGTCGCGGACGAGTTACACGAGGCCCCGTCACACTCTGAAAATCGCACGCGGTTCGGAATGTCTTGCTGTACCGCATGCACCTGGACGCCCGAAGTGGTGTCATATTCGAGCGGGAAAAGAAACCGCCCTTCCCGGGCAGACCAATTTACAACTTCCGTCACTGTGGCAAGCAAAATCGCCACTCGCTTCATGCACACTGTTTTGGCACCCTGCCCGGCGGGAAAACAGGTTGGCCCAATCCAATTGGTCGCAATCACTAAAATGCGTCCGTTTGTACCTGCCAATCAGTCGCCTTACGTCGCGGTACATTTGCCGTTTGTGACACAACATTTGGTAAATTTGCATGCACGACTCGGGGAAAAGGGGATTGAGAAACAAGTGTCCCCACAGGAATGTACCCTTAATCGCGACAACGCTAACACTTCGAAACGCAGTATCGCGGCGGAAACTTCAACGCTAGCCGAGGCAACCAATTGTCGCGAAAAACGCCCCATTGAAGAAATTTCGAGCGAGGGTCCTTCGACAGTCGACCTCCTGCTCGGAGGCACCCTTCGCACCCCCTCAGAAGAAACGCCGCGTGCTCCCAAGAAGATGACGATTGTCGTTGACGCGTCAGCCATGTTGACCGCTGCTGACGTGGGTCAACCCGGGCCCACGACCCAGAAATGCCAGCGCGCGACACCCTCTGCTGACGTCATGCCGGTCAACGCCCCCCCAATTTTGACTACACAGCAGCTGCAGGTGCTACTCTCGCTATTGCAGCAGCAGGCACCGGTTACAGCTACATCGACTGACGACATTTCAGCTTCTGCAAAAAAATGAAAAGCAGAAAGAACCCGCCACACCCCCTCGTACCGCCAAGGCCGCTCGCGCCAACAGCACCGCTCCTGCGCCCGCCCCGACTTCGGCACCAACCCGGCTGTGGGTGTGGGTGTGGGCATGGGTGTGGGCATGGGCGTGGGGTTGGGGGTGGGGGTGGGGGTCGGGGGGAAGGGGGTAGGGGGTAGGAGGGTGGGGGGGAGGGGGGTGGGGGGGGGGGGAGAGAGGGGGAGAGAGAGGGGAAGAGAGAGGGGGAGAGAGAGGGGGAGAGAGAGGGGGAGAGAGAGGTGGAGAGAGAGGGGGAGAGAGAGGGGGAGAGAGACGGGGGGGGGAGAGTGTCCAGTTCGCTAACCAACTGGGCTAAAAGGGCATGTTTCCTTGGTGGATCAGCGCACCCATACCCCCCCAGGACGACACCTGTAGCCCTTGGGGAGACCACTTCGGGTCATTCCAGTGTCCACTTCCAACACTCCCCTCACTGGGAGGGCCCACCACTAGGGCACAGGAAGTCGCCAACAGCAGGAATCGAATCCCGGTCCTCCACGCTCACCGCACCATGTCCAGTTCGCTAACCAACTGGGCTAAAAGGGCATGTTTCCTTGGTGGGTGAGCGCACCCATACCCCCCCAGGATGACACCTGTAGCCCTTGGGGAGACCACTTCGGGCCATTCCAGTGTCCACTTCCAACAGAGAGAGACGGGGGAGGAGAGAGAGGGGGAGAGAGAGGGAGAGAGAGAGGGGCACTACCTGCCTTAGTCTCTCCCAGCCCCTCTTCCTTAGTATACTCTAAGCCTAAGTACCTGAATATACGGGAGAAGAGCAGGCAGAGTCAAAGGATGTGTCCTTGGAAGATGAGCGTGGAATCCCAGCTGCTGCCGTAGATCGAGGAGCAAGGAGGGGGGGAAATGAGGTGGACTCCAACAAGGGCGAATTAGGGGCGATCAAGGCAATGAGGTGGCCAGTAAGGCACGCTCGCCATCTGAAATTGCAGCTGATGCAGACGCGTGCCGCCAGGTGGAAGGATGGGAACTCGGACCACTGTGCAACAGCGCCCAACCCTTCCTGTCTCAGAAGCTTCTGCCGAAGATCCTCGGAATCTATGCTTATTGCATGACGACCCCCCTCCTACGCCTAGGGAAAGCTTCAACGTGCGTGGGAACATGGCGTATCCTACAGTTCCTCTCGAGGCTTACCCTCAGAGCCAGAATTGAGAACCTTCCGGGAAACCGCTCGGCTGCAGTTGAGAAACGGCTCCAGCGATTTCAAGAAGAGGAATGGGATCTGCTATACTCAGAAGCCAGCACCATCCCCCCGAACTCACATCAGAACAGGCACCAGCCAGACCCCGAAGGCATGTGCGCCAGAGCAGAAGGCATGGTACGGAAGGCAAATCTTGCGAAGGCCTTGGCAGCGTTATAATCCACTCCACTCACAGAGCAATCGCCTGCCCCACTCGCAACCATTTGCGCAAAACACCCGGAGGTAGGGGAAGCAATGCCTAGATGGGTTACTGGATACACCTCGTCATCCCTCGCGATCGCCACAGACGGATTGTGCGAAGTGTTAGCTAAGTGCCCAAATGAGATTGGGGCCAGCCCATCCGGAACGTGCTTTGAACACCTGCGAGACCCCGCTCTAGTGAACGGAGAAGTATTCACGCTACTTCACCAAGTCATCAACATGCTACTAAGCACATACCTAAGCGAGCCGCTGAAGGAACTCCTGCTACCATCAAGGTTAATAGCGCTGGAAAAGCCCGGAGGGGGGGTCATGCCAATAGCGATTGGCGAAGCAATACTTAGAGTGGCGGCAAAGGCGGCGCGACGAGAACTCTCGAATAGTATCCGCCAACTTTTCTTACCGGTCCAATTCGGCGTAGCAGTGCCTGGAGGAGCTGAGAGCGTTATACATACCACACGTGCCTTATTCGCGGACGACCCTAGGCGGATCGCCATACAGCTTGACGTAAAAAATGCATTCAACTTGGTAGAACGGGAGGGCTTTTTCGCGTCACTTCAATGGACGGCCCTCAACCAAATCCTGCCACTTGTCCGCGACCTATACGGCTCACCGGCCCGCCTCCTCCTAGACCACGGTTTTGAAGCACGCTACATCGAAAGCGCAAGAGGGGTGCGGCAGGGGGATCCATTGGGTCGAATGATTTTTGCGGCGGCCATCCAACAACCCTCTTGAAAGCAGCGACAATGTGCCCCACTATGGTAGTGATGGCGTATGCCGATGACATCATGATTATAGGGAACCCGGCGGAGGCAATAGAGGGCGTGGACATCATCACCGAGGAGCTGCGGAAGTGCGGACTGAGATGCAACCTCGAGAAATCGTCAGCATGGTGTCCCGCAGGCTGCTCAGAGGACCTACCGGAGGAACTGGTAGCAGCGATTGATGGCATTCGCGTGCTGGGGAGCCCGGTGGGCACAAGGGAGTACGGAAAGAAGCTCATACGAACAACCCTAGATACCGTGGCGGCGCCCCTGAACCTCATCGGCAGGCTGCACCCGCAACACGCTCTCCTCCTGCTCTCGCGGTGTGTCTCCTGGCAGATCTCGTATCTGCTCCGGACAACGCCAGCCGACTTGCTACCTCTAGGAGAGTGGAGGGTCTAGAGTGAGTGGCTCCTATGGACGGCGCTGAAGGCTGCACACATATACGCACCTACAAGCGAGCTCGAGCAAAGCCTCCTCTGGCGCCAAGCCACGCTGCCGGTGTGCTTGGGCGGGCTGGGGTTGATAGATCCGCTCTCGGAGGCGTCGGCAACTTACCTTGCCCCCATGAACGCGGCGAATGCCCTCTTGCGGCAAATCGAGATGGCGTCGGACAACCCTCTGCGGCATGTACCCACCTTAATCTCACCCATGGGAGAGGGACCAACGGTGGCGTGCGGTGGGGATACGCAGCAGGACCTAAGGAACCGGCTCCCAGAACAAGCACGGGAGGTCCTAAAAAAGTATCACCAGAAGGGGGACAGGAGGGGGCACCTGCAGCTGATCCTGTTAAGGCATATCAACATAGAGCGGGTGGCCGAGCTGGTAGGAGACACTAGGATTGACAAGCCCGGGGCCGACAACGGACACGTGATACGCCTCATAAGCCTACAAGGGATAGGGGCGGGGGATTGGCTCCATGCGATCCCCACGTGCAGTGACCTCACTTTCTCGCCTGGACAGTTTGCAATGGCACTTGGTTTTTGCCTAAAATAGCCCCTGGCGGTGACAGAAAAGTGCCCTTGCAAGGGGAGGCGGTCCGCCATCAACGACAGGAACCTCCCAAAGCACCTACTGCGGTGTGCTGTCGGTGGGGACCGGACGAACACCCACAAAGCCTTAGTATATGCGGCACTGCGCATGGCCCAGGGAGCTGACTATATGACCCTTCACGAGATGGCGGTTTTCTCGCCTATAATCAACCAAATGCGAGCAGACCTAGTCATCCGAGACAAGGAGTCATTAGAGACCTGGGTCACAGATGTCAGGGTGACCGACCCGGTCCTGCAGCGGCACGACAAGAGGGCAGTCAAATCAGCTGGGTGGGCGGCAAAGGATGCAGCAAGGGTGAAACGGGGGCTGTATGAGGGCCGGCTGGGATTTGTGGGGGTGTTTGGCTTGGCGGTAGAAACCTATGGGGCCTTGGCAAAGGACACCCAAAGATTCCTCCGCCTCCTTGGGACCCAGGCGGCAAAGAAGAAGCACAGGCAAGGGAGGCTCACCTCAGTCGCCTCCAAGCTCAAAGCACACTATTGACAGCGCTGGCTGGTGATGCTACAGCGCTGCTAGGCAAACGCCCTGATGGCGAAGTCCAAGATGGCGGTTGAGGCGGTGTTCCCACAGGTTGCAGCCGACCCGTGGGAACCCCGCATTACAAAACCTGTAACAGGGTTTAAGCGCCCGTGGGAACCCACAGAGCCTATTTAAGGCCCCCTAGGGCCACCCATTCCTCATTATTTAGTGGTGAGTTTGTTTTCGGCGGCTCGCACCGGCAGCCTTCGGCCGCGCGTTTGGGATGGCAAGACAACAAAATGCATCAAATATAACCAGCAGAGGTACAAGCATGGCAGCAACTCCTAACTAATGAGAGAGCATACATGGAGCAGGCGGACGCAGATTCTTCATCCAGTCCGCTTCAGGGGCAGCAAGAATGCCGATCAGATTCCGCCACACCTCACGGACCACCAGCGTGCTTGCAGCGATCGCGTCGGCTCCTGTCCCTGCGCGCAAATATCGCCGCAGGCCGCGAACTGCAGCGTCAAGCTGCCCCACACCCGCAATGCCTCCCCGCGCGGGCGCGGCCAACACGGGCGCCATGAGGAGGCGAGCTGGTCTGCCGCATCCAGGCAATCGTCCTGTGGGCCGTCTAGAATCGTGTTCCCCGGGACACGCGGAAGGGAACTGTGTGCCAGCACCTGGACCAGCAGGAGCGCCCACATGCTCTCAAAGAGCCACCACAGCTGGCCGAGTGTCGCCTCGGGCACGCGGACCTGTCCCCCCACCAGGAAGGGGAGGGGATCATCGGCAGCAGGGGCAGCAACATCAGCCGCAAGGAGGGGAGGATACTACGCCCTCACCGCTCCTCCTCCCGCTCCCACAAATTCCATGCCCGCCACTGGCGGGACCCACAACATCCGACGACGGGAGCTTGCCGCCTCTCCTCCGGGAGCAGGCGCCGATACGGCAGGAGCAGCAGGAGGAGGAGCAACCTGTTGTGGTGCAATTCCAGGATGAGCAGCGGGAGGGGGAGCAGCTGGCCATGGTGCCACCTAGTGCGAGCCGCTCTGGCTCGCCGTGCCGGCCTGGGCGTCGCGCATCGCTGCCGACACAATGTGCTGAATGTCCGACCGCGTCAACGGCGCATCAGATGAATTGCCACGTCCGCGACCGCGACCTCCTCTCCAGCCACCATGCCCGCCGCGGTGTGCAGGCCAATTCGCTGGGGATTGACGGCGCCGAGGTGACTCACGCCGGCGTCGGGTCGATTCGCGCCCATCATGCGGCAAGGGGGAGTGGTGACGAGAGGGGCAGCGATCGAGAAACATGCTGAATGTCCGACCGCGTCAACGACGCATCAGAAGAATCGCCACGTCCACGACCGCGACCTCCTCTCCAGCCACCATGCCAGCCGCGGTGTGCAGGCCAATTTGCTGGGGATTGACGGCGTCGAGGTGACTCACGCCGGTGTCGGGTCGATTCGCGCCCATCATGTGGCAAGGGGGGGTGATGACGAGAGGGGCGGCGATTGAGAACTTGATGACGCGGGCGCCGTTCAGGAGAACGCCGCCTAGACTGAGCCGGCGGGGTCGCAGGAGACGCCGCCAGCGACGACTAGACGACATCGCCCTCCGCCTTCACCGGGGCTGGGCCGCTAGTGGTGGCGGACATCGCCTGCAGCGCCAGGTCGTCGGCGTGGGACGCCGCAACATGAACCGCGACGGCAGTTTGCGCAGGTGCAGCACCAAGGGGCTCCGGTACAGCGGCAGGGGGAGCGAGACCATCCACCGGATGGTCAGGTGCAGACGATGACAGTGCAGTAGGGGGAGACGTCGCAGCGGGCGTTACAAGCGCCGCAGACGGAGCATGCGGTGCGAGGGGGAGTTGGATCTCCTCGGCGAGTATCACAGGTTTTGGTGCAGGCGGCACAGGGGGCTTCTTCGACGAGGTCGCCGACATATGTACAGGCGACGTCCTTCCGTCCCCCATTGACGCAACGGCAGCGCGCGTTGGCGATGGCTCAGGAGCGCTGGCAATCACCATCTCGTGGGGGAAGGGGGTGAGGTCGCGGGAGACAGGCAGCAAGCGGGGTAGGCGGTGGTCCAGAGAAAGGGTACCAGGTGGCAGGGTGACGGGCTTTAAGATTACTGAACAATAATAATAGTCGTCAGGAGGAGGCAGACCCTCATTATAGGTCTGAGCTTGAGCCCGCTAGCAGTGGCAACGAGAGCGAAGAAGGTGAAGCTAAAAGGGAACAAGCTGGGAGAAACTTGCATCACGGTCAGCATGATGAAGCTACGGGGCGCGGAGAGGGGGGTGAACCACACGATGGGAATCGTACGGTCACAATTCCAACCGATGGGATGGTGCCCCACATGTCAGGTGATGAAGAGTTCGAGGAAGAAAACGGCGGGTCAAGTACAGCCGATTCCGCCACCCAAATGCACCAGGCAGCAGGTGACTATGGACTTCGTCACGGGGTTACCCGCGAACCTCGAAAGTAACGACGCGGTCATGGTTGTCGTTGACCGACTCACAAAAATGGCTCACTTCGCTGCATGCAAGAAAACGATCTCGGTCGAAGAAACCGCCCGCCTATTTATCGCAGTCGTCATTTGCCTGCACGGAATACCAGCCCCCATCATCGGCGACAGGGACACAAAATTCACCAGCAACCTCTCGAAAAATTTGTGGGAGGAGTTCGGGACCCGGCTACAGTTCAGTTCTGTCAAGAATCAGTAGCAGAAAGTTTAGAACAGGAAAGAGGGTTTGCACTAGCAGGCAGTTGAGTACATATAGGAAACCCTAACTTGGGCTATACTCCCTATAGAGAACCCCACTGCAGGCTAGACAAATATCACATTCTGACATACCCCCATAGTCAAAGTGGGGTATACTCAGCACAGCAAGCAGTCATAGAGCAGGTTTACTAGTACAAGCAAAGCTAGAGGCATTCACAAAGGGCAAGTGAGGAGGAGGAGGAGGCGGGACTGTGAGAGGAGAGGAGATAGGAGGCGACGGCTGAAGCTGCAGACATACGGGCAACAGGAACGGCTGGCACAGTGGCTACCGGAGCAGCGCCCCGGACTACTGGAGTAACTGGCTCCGCGGCTAAGACGAGCGGCAGGAGCAACGGACCTACGGGCGACTGGCGCAGGAGGCTCGCTGGGCTACCAGGGCAGTGCCTCGGACTGCTGGCGCTGCTGACAACACGACGGCTGCTTCCGCTCAACCTCCCCCAACTGTCCCAACCCCCTTTCACACACCCCCTGCTGCACCCCTATCTCCAATCCCGTGTCACCCCCCTAGCGTGACTCCCTCGGCTCCCACACACCCACCCCCCTCAACGGCAGCTGCAGCAGTGGGAGAGAGAGGAGGAGCAAGGGACGACGCACACCCGCCACCCACATACCCGCCACCCCCACACCCTCAACACAGGCGGCGCGGGGCAGATACGCGGGCAGCAGCTGGGGCAGCGGGCGAGCGGAAGCGGGGCGGCGCGCTGGTCCCTGGGGCGCCTCGACGAACGACGGTACGGGGCGACTCACGGGCCCCCGGGGCGCCACGACGGGCGACGGGAAGGGGCAACGCGCGGGCCCCCGGGGCGCCTCGACGTGCGACGGGAGGGGGCGACGCGCGGGCCCCCGGGGCGCCTCGACGAGCGACGGGAGGGGGCGACGCGCGGGCCCCCGGGGCGCCACGACGGGCGACGGGAGGGGGTGACGCGTGGGCCCCCAGGGCGCCGCGGCGGGCGACGGGAGGGGGGGCGACGCGCAGGCCCGCAGGGCGTCACGACGGGCGACGGGAGGGGACAGCGCGCGGGCCCCCGGGGCGCCACGACGGGCGACGAGCGCGCGGCGGGCAGGAAACCCGCCACGCACCCCGAGCGCGTGGCGGGCAGAAAACCGACACGCGCCCCGAACCCGCGACGGGAAGAAAAAACGCCACGTGCGCAGGGTGCGCGACAAGAAGAAGACGTCGCGCGCCCGAGGCTCGCGACAGGTAGGACAACAGCGGAAGCAGGTGGGCCCACAGGCCAGGAGTGATCTCGCTCTAATAGCATGTCAAGAATCAGTAGCAGAAAGTTTAGAACAGGAAAGAGGGTTTGCACTAGCAGGCAGTTGAGTACATATAGGAAACCCTAACTTGGGCTATACTCGCTATAGAGTACCTCACTACAGGCTAGACAAATATCACATTCTGACAAGTTCGTCCTACCACCCTGAGATGGACAGACAAACGAAGAGAACGAACCAGACCATAAAGCCGTTAATTCGCGCCACGTGTGACGACACCACAACCTGGGGCAACAGTTGTTACTGATCGAGTTCGGCTACAACAACGCGACGTCAGCAACCAGACAACAATTATGGGCAGAACCCTACAGTGCCCATGATGCCGAGCCCGAACAACCCAACAGCACGAGCGCAACAATTTGCTAAAATTCTGCAGGCTACCTGAACACGCGCAGCAGAGGCAATTAAGAAAGCAAATGTCATCGCTAAAAGGAACGCCGATTGCCACCGCCACCACGTCACGTACTACCAGCCAGGAGACTACATTCTGCTCGATACTCAGAACTTACGCCTGCCCATCATGCCGAAACATCGCCACCGCACTAGAGTGGTCCGTGTCAAATCAGCCACATGATCACGCTGGTCACCGCCCATCTATTGTTACCCGCCGACTGGTACATCAGCCCGTCATTCCACGCCAGTTTGCTTCGTCCGTACATCCCAACCACCAGCCAACTGCCACGGCACCGACCACCCTCGATGACGCGTCCTGCATCAGAGCCCATCGTTGACCCCGAGAAAATCTTGAGCCATCAGATTCGCCACCCCCAGGGATCTCGGAGGATCGAATTCCTTGTCCGCTAGAAGGACTGCACCCCCACGGAAGACAGTTGGGTGCCCTTGGGCAAAATCGGGAACAACCACATCCTCCAAGTGTATCTGCGAAGCCGAGGATTCCGTGATATACACGCACTTATGTAGCAGAGGGGCTTCTTGGGGAGGGGGGTAGTGTAAGGAGTTTTCTCGACATTCCTTACTACGCGTCTCAACAACGATACAGAATCGACCGTTTCTTTGCCCGTTATTGCTAACGGTGTTCGCCACCTTCGCGCGTCACATTGACCAAACCACACACTGCTGGACTGACCCGAGTCGGCCTACGCTTTGGGCCTCGCTGCCAGCATCGCACTAGCTAGCTCGCACGCACCGTGTTATCGTTCGCTACTTTCGTTAAAAATGTTCGCTCACATGTTTGCTCACAGTTTTACTCGTTTGATCATTTAGTGCAATCTTCGTTCACTCATTCAATTGCACCAGTAACATGGGGTCTTTTTTTTACAGGTTGAGGTTAAGGTCATATAAAGGCCGTAACCACGTACAACAAAGCATAGAGCAATTGGAAAAATGGTATACACAAACCAACAGCCCAAAAGCGTACGTAGGAAACACGTTATTTCTTTATCCAACTGTTAACCTCCAGCAAGGCTGTGGAGCGATCTATGCTAAAAAAAATAGAAAGGCCGAGGGGGGGCGAAAGGGGTCTCCTAGCAGCCATGGGGAGCGAAGTGTCAGAGGTCCACTTGTGATCCCCGATTGATCCTAGAGGAAGGGTTACAGGCATGTTGGCCTGGGGGGTTATGGGCGCACTGACCCGCTACTTAACAAGCCCTTTTATCCCAGTGGCATAGTGGTTGGGATTCTGACATGGTAACAGAGCGAATGTCTCGGGTTCGAATCCCAGTGTATGCACTTCGGGCATCCTAGTGCGGGGGGGTGTCAGAGGTTCACTTGTGATCCCCGATTGATCATAGAGGAAGGGTTACAGGCTCGTTGTCCTGGGGGGTTATGGGCGCACTGACCCGCTACTTAACGAGCCATTTTATCCCAGTGGTCTAGTGGTTGGGATTCTGACATGGTATCAGAGCGAAGGTCTCGGGTTCGAATCCCACTGTGTGCACTTCGGGCATCCCAGTGCGGGGGGGTGTCAGAGGTCCACTAGTGATCCCCGATTGATCCTAGGGAAGAGTTACAGGCTCGTTGTCCCGGGGGGTTATGGGCGCACTGACCCGCTACTTAACAAGCTCTTTTATCCCTATGGTCTAGTGGTTGGGATTCTGACACGAAGATCTGGGTGGATAGAAGGGTTTCCGTCGAGATAAAAAATAAGGAAGCGTAGTCGGGTGGCCAGCTTAATACGAGAGGTCGATCGTTGCTATTTTTTCACTGATTTTTCCTCCTCCGCCAGAGGAAGATTTTGAAGGCTAGGAGGAACAGTGCAAGAATGAATTGGAGAGTTTCGAAACAGGGGGAGAGCAAGTCGTGGAATTTATGTTAACATCGTCCATTCCAAATAGTCTTTCTTTACAGGGGCCTGGATCTTCCGAGCTAGGGTTGCACGCGATGGAGTGTTAACCCCGTAAAGAATGGGACATTACTTAGAGATACCCCATGATAACTATGCCGTTAGGGCGCGTCCCCTCCTTCAATCAATCCTCCCCTCGATTGATCGGGGACCT